GAGGGCCCCATCGGCCTGGCCGGTCAGACCGAGGTTGAGTGGCCGGTCAGACCGGCCTTGGCTCGGTCAGACCGCCATCGGCTCGGTCTGACCGACTACGGCTCAGTCGGCTTTGTATCGGCCATCCCGAGCAGCACCATCCCGGCCTCCACGGGGCCGGTCTGACCGCGCATGTGCCGCCGGTCAGACCGGCCTTATGCGCTGGTCAGACCGCCGTTGTGTGTTCGGTCAGACCGGCCAGGACACGACAGTCAGACCGCCACTATGTGGCCGGTCTGACCGCCCCTGATCAGGCCGAACCCAGTGAATACAAAGGTGATTGTGTGTGTGTGTGTGATGAAAATGTGAGCACAAGTGAAAATGCAATGACCTAATGTGGCAATTTAATCATCTCTTTGCTAGGTCATTACCCCCCTTGATAGTACGCGAAACTAACAAATAAACTAGCAAATTTGATCGCCCTTCACCTCGATCAATTTTAAAACTAAAACTCTAGTTTTACCGTTTTCTTTTCTTCGCTCCGCGCCATCAAATCTTAATCCATCGATAGTCATCCATGCGCACACATGACGTGGACCTAACTTAAAATATGTCTCAATAGCAACGGTTAGTCCACAATTAGTGTTTGTCATTAATTACCAAAATTAACAACGGGGGTCTAGATGCTTTACTATCGCCCGCCACATCCACTACATTTTTGCAAAGAACCCCCTGGCGAGGCTTTCCTCTTCTCCCATTGAGGGGTCAGGGCCATCAGGCACACAAAACATTTTCCTGTCGCTGCAATTGAAGGGGATGCCCTCAACGGCCGCGGCAGCGACGCCTTCTCGCCGTCAAATTTGAAACATACAACAATGAATCAAGTAACGAGTGGCGTTTCAGGTTCTCTCCAAAACCAAATCTTTAAATTTTTTCGCTCCCCCTAACTTGGTCCTCAACTAGGCTTGTAGATCGCGGCGGCTGATAGCGGTCGCATCGGTAGCACGATGGCAGAAGCAGCGGCAGCGGCGGAGGCACAGGCAGCCAGAAATGGAGGCTAACTCTGTGATGTGCCCCCTTGCTCCCGTGCCCTCCTGCATCGATCCAGCCCCATGAGCTCACTTTTTTGATGAAGTTTTCCCAGAGCAGCCAATTTGTTGAAGCACACTACTAGATGATGTGCAAGAACAAGATTTTTTTATAACAACCATTGCTACTTCTAGGTGGTTCGCAAGAACAGTAATTAGCAATAACAAGAATCAAGAAACATGTTGACAAGAATTTCTTATTTTGAACCATTCTGAATTTTGAGAAGAAATATGGTTAAGGCTGCCAATTTGTCCTAGTTGTGAAGCTAGATGTATTGAAGAATCTTGCTGTATAAGTTGTAAATTCATCCAATAAGCAGCTGGTGATTGACAACATGCATCTTTTATTACTTTTGTTTTTCCTTTTTTCTATATTTGAGAGATGTGCCAGCAAGCAATACACTGGATGAAAAATCTTCTAAACCCCTGAAACTGAATGCAATGGTTTCTGAAAGACTGTTGATATGAATATAATAGATTTTGTTTGCTTATCCATTCAAGTAATAGCACGAGCATCATGTTTAATTATATGAACGTGCTAGTCATCTTAATTAATATGCATGTTCTGAAGGCTGAACGCCTGAACACACTGATATACTTTGCACTAGGATCACCTAGGTTAGATTTAGTCGGGTGGTTCTATTTGGGATTGATGAACGACATTGTAGATGAAAGGGAGAGGGGTTTAGATACCGACCGGTTGAGGTGTTCGTGGAGGAAGAAGCGCCGGACATCGTCGTTGTCGTCGCAGCTTGACGTGGACGGCGGCGACGGTGTGCTTGACGGCGGCGGTTGTCGTTGCAGCGGTGGTCGTGGGCAATCCCGGCGAGGTCGTGGCGCGGCGGTGGCGTTTCCCGTCACTAGCTGCGCCCCCTCGATCGGATTAGAGTTTGTAGGGCGGAGTTGGCGGCGGCGACGAATCTCGTACCTTGTGCCGTGCCGACCTCCACCCCTCTTTTATATGGCGCAGTGTGACGGGGACCCACCAGCCATTAGGCTGGGCGCCCCCGATCAGGGCGCGGTCAAGGTCCGTTGTGCCGTTGGGCCCGACGGGTGGGAGATCTATCTAACACACATCAACAAAGAAAACGAGGTAAGCAAAAGAACTGGGAAATCATAACATTTACTTTAAAATGAACTGAATTATCCTGTCAAATACTAAGTTCTTGTGTTGAACTGAATTATTTTTCAGCTGCTAGCCGCTTCCATATTCTTTTGCCCCCATCATCATTTAAATTGCTTGCATATATTGCACAAGCGTACGTGTTGTTTTAAACTCTTCCCTGCTAGGATGACAAGCTCCTCCAGAGTCTCCGTTTTTGCTTCAGGCAAGAAGAATCGAGGGAGAATGAACGTGTGGGGAAAGGAATTTTTGGAAAACGATGAGGGCCTTGAGCCGCCGCTGGAAGACGATCTGGTTGATCTGAATAATCGTGGGATGGATAACCAAGGGTCAGGGGGTTCTTTGCAAAAAGTAGTGTATGTGGCGGGCGGTTTTTTTTTTTTTAAATTGCTGCATCCGGTTGGCAGCCCTTGGATTGAGATCGAGAGGACCCCATTGCACGAGTGCATGTGTGCATATGATGGCTCGTGTGCACCTGATACGCTGCCGTGCTAAGCAGCTGCTTGGCGCAATATATATGTAACAATTTGAGTGGTTTAGGCCAACTCAATTTGTGAAACCATACTTACCTTGCAAGCTTTCATATCAGCATTTCTTAAAAGTTTAAACTCGGTGAATAGTCATTGGGATTCGAGCATAAGGTCATATTCGTTTGGACACTTTTCTAACTTTTCCTCCCTCGTACGTATTTATAGAGTTGATGAAATGCCGAGATGCTAATTCTGCATTAATCGTCACTGCCCTATAACAATAATATAAATACGAAACCCCCATGCCTCATCATGACGATTCTCAAACCCGTTCGTGCACGGACCATAAGCGCGTGTTGGCCAAATTAATAGGGTTTGCATTATGCAAAGTCTAAAGACAAAGCATTTGCAGCCTACTTCCAGCTAAGGATGCAAACAGGTCAACCCACGAACCCATTTATAGACGAAATTAGTGGATAACCCACTGATTGATTCACAGGTTACCTACTAATTTAATCTATAAATTAATTTATTATATATTGACCACTTACTCCCTCCGTCTCAAAATAAGTGCAGTTTTGACAATTCATGTCTAACCTTTGACCGTTCGTTTTATTTGATTTTTTTAAATAATTAGTATTTTTATTGTTATTAGATGATAAAACATGAATAGTACATTATATGGGACTAATTTTTTTTATTTTTTTCATAATTTTTTCAAATAAGACGGACGGTCAAACGTTGGACACGGATACCCACGACTGCATTTATTTTAGGACGGATGTAGTATATCTCTAGGTGTGACAAACCAAACCACCACGTGAAAATTTACATGTTACCATTTACATGTAAGTAAATTCGTGGATCCGCTTGCTATTTTAGCAGGTCAGCACTCCGCACTTCAGTACTCTCTCCGTTTCATAATGTAAGTTATTCTAGTATTTTTCACATTCATATTGATGTTAATGAATTAGATTCTATAATGACTTATGCTGTGAAACAGACAAAGTACTCAGCACACGCCGCCTTCGTATGCGTGCCGCGACGTCCGTCGGGACAGGGACGACGACCGGGTGTATGGAGGCAACGTGCCGCACCCGCCCCCACCGTCCGGACGATCGAGATCCACGTGGACCGGAAGACTTTCCCGCTTCGCGTGAGGCGGACGGCCGCGGGCCGCCCGGCCGGCCTGCAGCCCTGCACACGCGCTGGACGAAGCGGCCGATCTCTCCACGCGCGCTAATCCGCGCGCCGCGGCGTTGCAAAATGGCAGCCTCGATCGCTCTCCCGTACCACGTCGCGTACGTACGCGCGCCACGGTAACACGATACGGGAGCTCACCGATCGGCCGGTTGGTGGGGGTGGGGTGGATGGATGTCACGGTGAAAGTAGCAGTGGACAAGTTGATGTTGATTTGGCTGATGCGCAAAACCAAGGGTTGGTTTGGCTTGAGGCCTATATTGGCCTTACCAATATTTAGCAATTTTAATAGTGTTTATTGTCTATTTGTTTTGGAGCCAAATTTTAGCATGCCTAAGAAAATATACCATTTCAACAGTTAATTTAGGCTATTTTGGCTTCAATCCAAACACAATTTTATTTTTGCCAAAATTAGCCATGCTAAAAGTTACCAAAATTTGATATTGATAAAAATTGGTAAGGCTAATTTAGGCCACCAACCAAACCAGCCCCAAGTCAACACTCGAGACTAGCGTGCACATCGGTTCGGTTCAGGAATCAGGACAGGAGGGTTCACTTTGGTTGTATCGCACGTTCTGGAAGCGGATGTACTTAGTATTACTGTGAGTACGCTCTAGTGCTCTACACACTGGAAGAGCCACTTGTGGAGATCAATTACAAAGAGCCAATGTGCCATGTTCTTGACTTGAGGACGTCACCACAAACCGTTATCAACTTGTCGACTTGTGAGTTGTGGCGACCTTCACAAAATGCAGTACAAACCGGCCGAAGTCCACCCACCTGCACAGCAGAAATAAATATACTACTAGCACTTATATTTAAGCATCCTTTAAAGCACAGAATTTTGCAGGAATCAGTCACATTCCCAACAAGTCTTTAACCCCATAGGTACGGAGTGAGTACTCCGTAGCTTGATATACACCTTTCGTTTAAAAAAACAATATTTACTATAAAACTGAACAGGTATATTTCCAGCTTCAGTTTGTATCAGGTTATTTCCGGACCTCATAATTTGCAGGACAGTCGGGACAGACAGACAATCGACGCGTGCACACTGTCCGTCAAGCCTACAGCTGCGTGCGTTCTCCCCAGCCACGCACGACACGAGGTTCGCAAGTCCAACCCACGCGCCGACGCGAGACCTACTCGAAACACCTGGACGGCCCGGATCCCCCGCCCGCGCCCGGTCACGGACGCCAAGACGCCATCTCGTCTCGTCCATTCCAACCCCTCCAAACCCAAACCCCCCAATTCTGACCGCGCGAACCGCGACTCGCGCCACCACCAGACCAGACGACACGACACGCTGCGCCCCAAGTCATATACCGCCCGCCGCGACCTCGTCCAACAAACGCAACGCAAACACTCGCTCGATCGCCACATGCCGACGCCTCGTCCTCGCCACCGCCACCATGCGCTCCCGCTCGCGCTCGCGCTCGCCGCGCCGCTGCTGCTGCTAGCCGCGGCGGACGGGCAGCCGAACGAGTCGAGGGACAAGAACAACGGCGGCGGGGGAGGTGGGTTCATGGCGCCCAGCGGCGGAGGCGGCGGCATGGGCTCTCAGTCGCCGAGCTTCAGCGCGCCCATGGTGGTGCTCCTCGTGGCGCTCATCGCGGCCTTCTTCTTCATCGGGTTCTTCTCCATCTATATCCGGCGGTGCGGCGGCGAGGCCTCCACGGGGCCGACCATCCCGGCCGCGGCGCTGGCGGCGCTGTCGCGGCAGGAGCAGCGGAGCCGGCGGCAGCGCGGGCTCGACCCCGCCGTGGTCGAGTCGTTCCCCACCATGAAGTACGCCGAGGCGAGGGAGCTCCGCGACGGCGGCAAGGACGCCGTGCTCGAGTGCGCCGTCTGCCTCAGCGAGTTCGACGACGACGAGGAGCTCCGGTTGCTGCCCAAGTGCAGCCACGCCTTCCACCCGGACTGCATCGGGGAGTGGCTCGCCGGCCACGTCACCTGCCCTGTCTGTCGGTGCAACCTTGCGCCCGACGCGGCGGCGGCGGAAGCGAACGTCGTCTCCGGCGAGGTGGATGGGGAGCAGCAGGAGGAGGAGGTGGTGGTGGCCATCGACGTGGACCGCGAGGGCGAGGAGGAGGACGAGGAGAGGCGGAGGGAGGCGATGGAGCTCGAGAGGATCGGCAGCCAGCGCCGCGCGGTGCGGTCGAGGTCGGGGCGGCCGCTGCCGCTGCCGCGGTCGCACTCGACGGGCCACTCCCTCGCCACGACGCGGCTCGGCGACGCCGGCGACCTCGAGCGGTTCACGCTGCGCCTGCCGGAGCACGTGCGCAGGGAGATGGTCGCCGCCGCCGGCGAGGAGAGCCTGCGCCGCACCGCCGTCCGGGAAGGCCGCGTCGGCGGCGGCGCCCGGAGCGCGCGGATCGGGCGGTCCGACCGGTGGCCGTCGTTCATCGCGAGGACCTTCTCCTCGAGGATCCCGTTCTGGTCTGCGTCGAGGAGGGTACTCGACGCCGCGGAGGCCGGAGCTGACGCCGCCGCCACCACCACCACCACGACGCCAACGTCAACGGCGAGGACCAAGCGTGACAAGACGGCCGCCGCCGCAGATGGCTCCGTGAGCTCAGCCAAGGGCAGCGTCCGCTTCGACTGTCTCGGCGGCGGCGGCGGCGGCGGCGGCCCGAGCAACAGAGTCGTCGCCTTCGCCAACGACGACGAGGAGGATGACGACGAGAAGCCAATCGCCCGGCAAGTTTGAGCTCGCGCCATGCGCGGTGGCGGCGCCAGTGCATGCATCATCTGATCAGAAAACCAATCCGCGGCGGCTTCTCGCAGCGATCCGCCATGGCTGGACCTTCGATGAATCAGCTCGTGCACGGACACAGATCACTAGAAAAGATCATCAATTTGAGTTGAAAATACCACTCCTAAATTAGTACTAGATTGTTAATTATACATTTTTCTCTCCATTGCTTCTTTGGATAGAGAAGTGGCGTGGAAACGTTCAAAGATCCAATTTTTCTTCCCCTCCGTTGAAAAACTGGAGCGGGGTTGTACTTGTACCGGCACTGTATTCAAATATTCATGTGATTATTCGTATCCTTCAAACGAGCTTAGGTTGCTGGACTTATCAAACACTCAGCTCAAGCATGCCAGAATTTGTTTTTTTTTGTTTTTATAAAAAAAAACACTGATACTAGCAGTGTTCCCTCCAAATGGAAATTCTTTAGCACGTTTTCCCTCCACATGGGGATTCGTTCTTCTGATCTTGAGTTAGTTGGGGGAGTATGATTGATGGCCTAGTTGAAGAAGAAATTACGCATGCAGTGACATGGTCATGGTCTGCAACTCCGCATCAGCTCAGACGATGCAATTGGAACGTGTCGTCAGTCAAATGATGCACTTCCCAACTGAATTCTCAACGCCGTACCTGTACAGTATCAACTTATTACATGTCATCCTCATTTATAATTATTCGTTATGAATTATGATATCAGGAGCTGCCTAGCAGTACTTCGTTTCCCAAACGGCATAGCATAAGGTCGGAAAAATAAACTATGATGAAAAAACTCTAAAATCAACTACAAATTTTAGATTAAAAATTTAAATTTTGACTTACAAGCATAAGCGAAAAGATGAGGATGTTCTCTTCTCCTGGCTAGGAATTCAGGCCCAGTTTGAGATTGATGAGATTAAGATTAAGTAAACATAAAATGAGAGAGCCATTAGTGAATCATTAATTTACTAATCATTAATTGAGTTTTAATAACTATTGCAAAGTTAAAAAAATTGATTTGTCGTGACCTTACGTCACGGACAAGTTCGGGGATAAACAGAAAAATTCATTTTTCCTGCCTATCCTAAGAAATAAGCTCAAACACAAAATGCACAACTTTGGTGATTGATATTCCTCTATTAAATTATGTCCCCCCTTGCTACAAGATTTCGGCAAGCTTATATAGCCTATAGCCCCGTATATGTGAGATTACAACTTTGCCCCTATGGGCCCTTGTGAGTTTATATCCTTACCATGTCAGCAACCCTAAGGGCATTTTGCTATATTTTGGAGGTCATTATGGTCTTTTGACGTCAGCTAGCACGAGTGGTTGCGAGTGGTCCCCGTGGAATCTTCTTTTGGCATCTTTCTTGTCCAAGTAGTGTTTTCCCTCGAGTTATTACATTGAGCGTATTTCCCATCTTGAGTCGTCTTTTTTATCTCGAGGGTTCGAACACTTCTTCCCACCTACCTGGCTCTCGGAATTTTTTTTGTCACTAGTTAGAAATCTATCTAAACAGGACAAGTTGTTTCAGTAGCACAAAACCTTTCGAATAGAACTTTCCGACTCGAATAGTACTTTACCGTTCGAGTAGTATTTTACCACTCGAATAGTATTTTACCGTTTGAACACTTAGGGTGTGTTCGCTAGTACAGGTTCCCAACTGGGAACAGCACGTGCAAAAAACAGAGCGATCCATTAGCGCATGATTAATTAAGTATTAGCTATTTTTTTTCAAAAATAGATTAATTTGATTTTTTTAAGCAACTTTCGTATAGAAACTTTTTGTAAAAAACACATCATTTAGCAGTTTGAAAAACGTGCGCGTGGAAACGAGGAAGAGAGGTTGGGAAAAGGAGGTGCCGAACACATCCTTAGAGTTTTCAAGACCTCCTTTTCTTTAGTATTTTGACCAAATAGGGAGGATGGTGTTGACCCCGTGCTACAACATGATTTATTTGATATTTTAAATCAACTTCTATATAAAAGTCTTTTGTACGAAAGACACCATTTAGCAGTTTAAAAAGCATGTTAACGAAAATCAAGATAGAATCTATATCTGAATTAGAAAAAAAAGAGGATGGATGGTGAACACTGCTTTTCTTTTTCTTTACACGCCTTTCAAAGTGGACACAAAATGAAGTATACTTAGATAAGAAACTATTCCCTCTGTTCCCAATATTTATCACTATGCACTATTTAAATTTCAACTTTGATCGCTCAGTCTTTTTTACAAAAAATTTAAGAAACACTCAAACACCGTTTAAAAAGTATTACCATATTTGTGTCCTAAACATAAGAATTAATCTTCCGTTTATCGCAATCTAACCATTTAAAAATTATTAGCGGAAGTATTGATAAACAGAGGGAATATAAGCTGATTTAACCCTAAAAAATGCGATTATATATGTCGTGTCTGCTTTTACCCTTCCCCCTTTTGTTTCCTCTGTATCATATATACCAATTTTATCATGTGACTTTGAAGAGAATTTCTCTGCTGATCGTGCAAACGCTAATCACAGTTCTACAACAACAAAAGGAAAACCAGTTGTGCACAATTGTCATCGTACCACAACATTTCATGATGTACTCCATGGCCAAACGCCCAAACGGTACATGACAGTATAGGAGTACTGAACATGTTGGTTTCACTATAATACCTGAGGAGATGTTGACCTCGATCTTCTAGAGGCGAGAAAACGACTCTTTTGACTCTTGAGGTGAGTGTTAGCTCCTCCAAGCCTACAATTAAACAACGGGGGACCCTAGACTCTGAAAATTCATGTCCTTCTAGATACTGATGCGGGTGAAGTGTGAACTGAGTGATAAGAAATAATTAAGACTCGGCACATGGTCAGTTGGGGCAGCTGGTTATGTGCAAACTCTTGTCATTTTCTTCCCCATTTCAGTAACGCTAGGTCATTTTTCAGTTTTCACGAAGCTTTTCTTCTGAAGAACTTGGTCTTTCTTTCTTTCTTTCTTTTTTTATTCTGAACGTATGTTTTCACAAAGCATGGTGATTCTCGCACTTATGTCGATACTCCCTCCGTCCCACAATATAAGGGATTTTTTGAGTTTTTGATTGCAACTTTTGATCACTCGTCTTATTCAAATTTTTTTTGTAAATATAAAAAACGAAAAGTTGTGCTTAAAGTACTGTAGATAATAAAGTAAGTCACAAATAAAATAAATAATAATTTCAAATAAATTTGAATAAGACGAGTGGTCAAACGTTGCAAGTAAAAATTCAAAATCCATTATATTATGGGACGGAGGGAGTATTTTTCTATAGGAAAGGTCCAACTTATACGACCTTACACACTTGTGGTTGTAGGAAAATCAATGCTAAACTACATAACTGAATATTTTACAGCCTTAGACCCATAAAATTCTACTTTAAAGACTTTACTTTGGGGGTTGCTATGTCAACTGGAAAATTGTGATGTTGCCAATGCCAAAAATTTAAGAGTAAAAAGTGAACAACAATAAGAAAGGGACCAGGCACTTTTATGAAAACTAGTAATATATCCGTACTTTGTAACGGATTAGACCAATATAATTAGGGAATTGCCTGGCTGGGTGGATTGAGAATAAATTATTGGATCAGTGGTTATGTACATGCGAAGGAGCGGACCTCTTACGATAAAAGGGACATGGAAAAAAGATGACTGCACTTTTAAAGTAATAGAAAAAAAAAGAGAATAATAGGCAAATACATTTCTGGGTTTGTCTATAGAGCATTTGGCTTGGTAGTATTGCTCAAGGTTCTGACCGATTGAACCACGGTTATAAACCTTAGAAAAATAATTTAAAAAACCCTTAGAAAGATGAAAGAAGTTTGGAGAAGTGGAGAACTAACGCAAAGAAAACGTGCGCTATAGTATCCGGCTCGTTTTCTTTGCTGCGTTCCCTAGTTGCTCGTGCCTGCTCGCGCCAGAGGTAGCGAGGCAAAGTTTCTTGCTACCTCATCCTCTTCTTGCCGTTCAGAAGGAGCCTCCCATGCGACGAGCACGTACATCTTCAGCCAGACATACAAATAAGGGCCCCGTTTAGTTCGTGAAAAGAAAATTTTTAGGTGTCACATCGGATGTTTGACCGGATGTCGGAAGGGTTTTTTGGACACGAATGAAAAAAATAATTTCATAATTTGCATGGAAACCGCGAGACGAATCTTTTGAGCCTAATTAATCCATCATTAGTACATGTTGGTTACTATAGCACTTATGGCTAATCATGGACTAATTAGGCTCAAAAGATTCGTCTCGTGATTTTCTCTCTAACTGTGCAATTAGTTTTTTCATTTATCTATATTTAATGTTTCATGCATGTGTTAAAGATTCAATATAATGTTTTTGAGAAAAAAATTTGAGGAAGTAAACGGGGCCTAAGTCGACCCACGAACCCACTTATACACACCTACCTTCACGGCTTCGCATGAGCCCCTTCCGTTGTTTCGTGGGCTATAGCTCCACCTGTTTCTCTTTTGGGCTTGGCTCTAGCGCCCTCTGCTCTTCCTCCTCCACCACGCAACTACGACCACCACCTAGTAAGGCCTGCCAGCGACGCTGCGCCCTGGTGTGAGTGGCGCCACCTAGATCCACCTCCTATTCTCCAATGCAAGGGCCACTCGAGCCCACTGGAATTGATCTTACATTTCTTCTCTCACTGATTTTGAAAACTTTAAGTTGAAATTTTTTAAATCTTGATTTGAAAACTTTTAAATCTTAACTTAAAAACTTTCAAATTTGGACTTGAAAGTTTTCAAATCTCGAGTTGAAAGTTTTTAAATTTCGAGTTGAAAGTTTTCAATTTTTTCCTTGCAAATTGAAATTTCAAGTTGAAAATTTTTAAAGTTTGAATTGAAAGTTTTTAAAATTTGACTTCAAAATTTAAATCTTAAGTCAAAAGTTTTTAAATCTAACTTAAAAATTTTCATTTTGTTAGTAAAAAAAATCTCAGGAAAAAAATATTTCCTAATTACTCTCATTATCGTTAACAAACAGAGTTAGTTACGTGTAACAACCCTCCCTCCAGAACCGTGTAGCCAGCCCATCCGACGAGCGGACCCACTTACACTTTCGTCATCGCTTCATGTAAAAGGGTTAACCCGAGAGCAGTGTTGTGGAAAACGGTGTTAACGGCCGTTAATACGTCCGATAATACGGATACGGAGATCAGTCCGTCACGTCACGCCGATGCGGTCATCATTAGTCGGTAACGAACGCATAAATCCGATCATTACCGATTAAATCGTCCGTCTCCGTCTAATCAGCCGTATAATCGGCGTGATGACAAAGGTCGATTCCACAATCCAGCTCATTAGCTGTGCCCTTTACTACTATTGACTAGAAGTTTGCTCTTCCGAAATTCTCACAAGGCAGCAAGATGTAAAATGACAAGGAACTGACTTCCTCTAAAGTTTGAACATGAGTTCCTTGATTTTGACGATGATCAGGTTATTGGAGTTTGTATTTGATGCAGCCGATACATATGCTATTTGGGACCTTGATTACGGTCATTTATGCTATGTACTACATTCTCTTGATAATTCATTTCATGCATTATGAACAAAACCCATCACTACGTCAGAATTGAGATATACAGTAACAGCTATCCATTATGAACTTATTTAAATATCATATATGGTTATTCTATTTAAGGATATATAGAAGGAATATATTAAGTTATATGCATTTGTTTATCAAAAAGGGAAAACTATTATCAACTATGTACATATATTTTCAAAATGTTATATTTCCGCCAAATTCCGATTAATCGTCCGCATTCCGATTAATCGTTTAGCGGTACCCTCTCCGTCCGATATCCGTATACCGTCTTCCACAACACTGCCCGAGAGTGCTATGTTTAAAGGGACAAGATCTTATAAGTTGGTTTCACCCTTGCTAAACTAGCAGGGTGATACTAAACATGCGCATACAGCTTACATGAGCCACACATGCCTTATCCAAATTGTACCAGGATATCACATACCATATCCACAACCGCCCCCGCTCTAGCGGCTACACCAAATGTTGTGCCGCCCATCGCCATTTCAATTAGGAGTGGGCATTTAGTCTAACCGAAAATTTCGGTCTCGGTCTTCGGTCTTTTCGGTCTTTGAAAAGTGAAGACCGAATTTCAGCGAAAAAAGTTAGGACCGACAAATTCGGTCTCGGTCCCGGTCCTGACCGAAATTCAACAACATTTTCATATATACAAAGAAATAATAGAAATTTTCAACACAAAAATCACAAAAAAAATTCGTAAACACTTATGAGTAAAGACTCTTATTAGGTTGCATGCCTAGAAAAAGTAGGGATGTGAAAATTAGAGTTTAATCCTATTAAACATAGTAGATTGTAGGTTGTATTTAGACATTTTTTGAAATTTGGTCTTTTCGGTATATTCGGTTACCCGAGGAGACTAACCGAATTGACCGAATAAAATTCGGTCTTTCACTACCTAGGACCGAATTGATGACCAAATTTCTCAGTCTTGGTCTTTTCGGTTCGGTTTTTTTTCTGCCCACCCCTAGTTTCAATGCATATGCGACCTTTCTCTAATCTTTATGACCAGTGAACTTTTTTCTTCCTCCATTTTACTTTCCTCACCTACCCTGAAACTATTGTCCTCAACCAATCCTACCAATCTAGCACCTGAGGTCCTGGGTTCGACTCCCCGTGGGAGCGAATTTTTCAGGATTTAACGGCGTTGTGCTTTCAGTGGTAGTCGACGTACCCGTCGACAGCGAGGCGCCTGTGGTGACTTCGTTAATCTCTCCAGGATTTGCCGGGCCAGTCTTTGAAGATGCTCATAGGGGTAGGGTTTACATGCGTGTGTTCATAGGGGTGAGTGCGCGTGTGTTGTGAGTGTCTGCGTTGTACTGTGTAATTCTCAAAAAAAAAATCTAGCTATCTCGTTGGAGGCGCTTTTGCAGCCGCTCGCTCTTTAGAGATTGATTGCCAACTCATAATGGAAAAACTCATTTATCTTTTTATTAGCTTATTTACCAGATTATTGAAACGAGTTATTTGTTCCACTTTTTTAAAAAAACTTTCTTCTATTGCACTTCTTAGATAACTTATTTTGAGCTATTTATTAATTTTTTTTGAAATATTTAATTTACCATTATAATTAACTTAAAAAATCCGTGACAATAATTCGCTTGATAATATAAATCATTTTGAGTTCAACTGGTAGTAGGGATGGCAATTTCTCTCACTTCATGTGGGGCCAGGGCCGAGGCTGCAACGGGGCCCCGAAATATTGAGCAAGAGCAACCTGCTTGCTATCAAAAGCCATGTAGCCCACTTAAATTCGTAACAAATGCAGCCCAAGTACTTGCCATTAGAAGCCCATCAAGCAAGAAGCTTATGCAGGAAGTTTTGGTGCAGATATAGGGCTGGTTCACTTTGATACCATTTTCAACCTTATCAAGTTTTGACATTGCTAAATTTTGATAAGATTGCCAAAATTTTGATAAGGTTGTCAAAATTTTAACAAGGTTGCCAAATTTTAGCAAGATTTCATATGTACTTAGGGCTGGTTTGGTTTGTGACCTAAATTAGCCTTACCAATTTTTGTCAATGCTAAATTTTAGCAAGTTTTAGCATGACTAATTTTAGGAAGACAAAATTGTGTTTGGATTGAAGCCAAAATAGCCTAAGCTAACTATTGAAATGAACTATTTTCTTAGGCATGCCAAAATTTGGCTTCAAACCAAATAGACACTAAACACTATTGAAATTACCAAATATTGATAAACCGAATTTAGGCCTCAAACCAAACCAGCCCTTATTAAAATTTGGCAACAAACTAAACGTAGCCAAAATTTTTGTAACTTTGCTTAAAAAAATAATATGGTTAAAAATGATATCTAAGTGAACAGCCCCATAAACACACCAGCAAACCCTGGCCCATCACCACAGTGCATCGACGCCGGCGGCGAACAATCATGTGAGCTGAAAATAGTCCCTTGCTCGCCGCCACACGCCGCAACGCGCGATTCGCTCCCTTTCCGCCCGCTCGCCGCCCTGTGCTTAAAGTGCTTTGGTTGGTTTCCGCCCGCCCGCCACTAGCGCCATCGAGCTTTCCCTCCATCCCGATGAAGCGATCCATACTGGGCCGCCAGCCCACCTACGCCGTTGAAACCCAAAACCTCTTTCTTCTCCGGGGAATTTAACTATTTGCCACTTTTACGTTTGCCAATTGTTCAAATATCCCTTTTAGGTTTGCAGTTAACTATATGCCATTGGAGAGAGAAGTTTTTCTAATTTTTTGCCACTTTTCGCACTGTACACCGCCACATGGGCTTGCTAGCGTGGAATGGGCACCTGAAATGACTAGTATACCCCTGCATCTGAAACCCTAAATCAGGGGATCCTCTCTCTCCCGATTCCGTTCGACCGCCAGCCACCATCGACGGGCGACGCCGTGCCGTCGACCCCTGCCCGCCCCGCGTCGGCCCCGCGCCGTCGACGCCGGCCCGGCGCGCGACATCGACGCCCGTCCCGCGCCATCGGCCCCTGCTCGCCCAGCGTCGGCCCCGGGCCGTCGACGCGCCGCCCGGCCCGCCGGCTCACCGCCCCACGCCGGTCCTGACGTTCTCCACCCGCAGTCCGCCGTCGACGCATTTGTCAGATCCGCAGCTCCGGCATCATCCCGGCATTTGTTCTTCCCCAACAGCACATCGTGACCTGGTAGGGCATCGTCGCCATCGTCCTCCGGCGGCGATGAAGCCCTCAGTTTGTCCTTCTTGGTAAGTTCATTTTCTCCCTTGCCCTCCCTGCTTGTATTGTGTTGCATGCATGGAGTTAGATGTGTTCTAACTCCATTTTTTTTATGAATCTGTTTATGTCAGGATTGATCCTGGCAATGCGCTTAGATTTCTTGTTAGGGTTGCTAAGTATGTTGCGAATCTAGAGTATGGAATGCTACCAATGTCAGAGCAAGACTATGATTGGTGGGTTGATATTAGCAGTGGGTATAATTTGGATAAATTTCATGATGAAATGGCTAGCAAGATAATCTGGGGGCCAAGCCAAGAAATTAGAGTTTGGGGTTTGGACACTGAAATTGGCACTGAATGTAAGTTGACAACCAATGAAGAATTTGGCCAGTGGATGAATTCTATGTTGGATGATAAGCTGGTAGAGTTTGGTGTTGAAGTTATTTATAAAAAGGGATATGAACCTATTGAAGGCATTGCAAATCCAGTTGATTCAGCTATTCAAGGTGTCTCTGGTGTGGTAACTGCAGATCCAATTGATCAGTCAAGTGCTCAAGTTCTCTCTGCTATGATTAGTGCTGAAGTTTCTTCTCCTGGTCATGAAGAAGGGACGGGTGATACCTCTAGCCATCCACAAAATGCAGAAGAGGCTAATGCTGTTGTAGATTGGAGTAAGTTGGCTATACTTGTTGAACCTGAGCAAGATTGTGATGTTAATTTATTGTTGGATGAGGATCAAGTTTTTGAGGCCATGGGCTTCAAAGCAGCAGATCAGAGAGCAGCAGCTGCTGCAGCAGCTATGGAAGAAACTGCAATTCCTATTATTCCAACCGAGATTCAGCAAGACATGTTAGATGCAGCCATTGTAGTGGACGATGAAGTACCCATTGATGTGTTGGATTGGGACAGGGATGACCCAGATATGTCAGTGGGGACATTTTACCCTTCTATGGATGAGTTCAGAATGGCAATGAAGCAATATGCCATTGTTCATGAGTTTGAACTAGAGACTGAAAATTCTGACAAAGAAAGGTTTAGAGGGAAATGCCATGCAATTGGTTGCCCATGGATAATTAGAGCAAAGACCCAACCTAATAAGAGTGTCAGGGTATTATACTAACCATTTAAATTACCTTTGCAATTTGACACCTTGCTTGCTGAATTCAGATTGGAGTAACTTTTGCATAGTTGCTAATATTGTTTGCTTTTGCAGGTCCAAATAAACAAATATGATCACAAGTGTGCTTCAAGAAGCAGAGTTCGTGGAAGGATGGCATCTCAAGCTTGGGTTGCTGAGAGGGCAATTCCATTTCTCAACAAGAAGAATGGGATGGGTCCAAAGGAACTTCAGAAGGAGCTGCAGGACACCTACAAGATAACCATACCTTATCATACAGTTTATCATGGTAGGAAGAGGGCAACAGACAAATTATTTGGTAAGTGGTCTGATTCATTTGATTGGTTGTATAGGTTCAAGGCAGAGGTGGAAATGAGGTCCCCAGGTAGTGTAGTTGAGATAGACACAGTTAAAATTGGAGATAAGGTTCACTTCAATAGATTCTTTTGTGCATTTAAAGCATCAATTGATGGTTTCTTAGGGGGGCTGTAGACCCTACATTAGCATAGATTCTACTGCCCTTAATGGATATTGGAATGGACACATGCCTGCAGCCAATGCATTAGATGGACACAATTGGATGTTTCCTTTGGCATTTGGTTTTTTTGATTCAGAGACCAAAGAGAACTGGGTTTGGTTTATGGAGCAGCTAGCCAATGCAATTGGTCCAGTTCCAAAATTAGCTATCCACACTGATGCATGTAAAGGGTTGGAAACTGCAGTTCACAAGGTATTTCCATGGGCAGAACAGAGGGAGTGTATGAGGCATTTGATGGAGAACATGAAGAAATTATTTCATGGGTCTATCTATGCGAGGAAGATGTGGCCTGCAGCTAAGACTTACATGCTTGAGAAGCATGACAAGTGGATGGATGAAGTGACAACAGCTAGTCCAGAGGTGAAACAATGGCTTAAAGAATATCACAACCTACTGTGGGCCAGAAGCAAGTTTGATTGTGCTATAAAGTGTGACTACATCAACAATAACCTGGCAGAGTCATGGAACAGTTGGATCAAAGACTTGAAGGATTTGCCTGTTGATGCTCTTGCAGATGCCATTAGGGAGAAAACTTTGATCTTGTTTGAGAAGAGGAGGAGGATCTCTACAGCTCTCAATGGAGTGATTCTTCCTGTTGTCATCCATCAGTTGAATGAAGCCTCAAAAGGTTTAGGCCATCTGAAGGTTACTAAAGGAAATCCTGACCAAGCAGAAGTTACAGAGACATACAAGGATGAGGAAGTGACTAGGCATGTGGTGTACCTTGATAAGTGGACATGTACATGCAGGGAATGGCAGGTCACTGGGAAGCCCTGCCCACATGCATTGGCACTGATCACAACAATTAGGCAGCCAAATATGGAGAAATATGTTGACACAGCTTACTCTGTGCACAGATTTCAGGTAGCATATGCAAGTGTTATCCCTAACATCACAGACAAGAAGCAGTGGCCAAAAGTTGATAAAGGTTTCAAGCTCCTGCCACCCGTTCCCAAGAAGAGAGGAGTGGGTAGGCAGAGAAAGAATAGGATCCCATCTGCTCTTGAAAAGGGCAAAGGAAAGGCCACAAGGCAAGTTCAATGTCCAGACTACCAACGGTTTGGACATAGGAAGGGTAGTATAAGATGTGAACTGACTGGAACTAGGAAGAGGTTAGTTCAGCTATGATTTACTTTCTTTTAGTTATTGTACAATGTATTGCTTAAGCTAACCAATGTTTTGCAGGAAGAAAAACAACAAGACAAAAACAAATGTGGGAAGGAAGAAAGCAAAGGGTGCCATTGATGCCCAAGCTGCTGCAGTTGATGTTCAAGCGAATACGCCAAGAACAAGAGCTGCTGCAGTTGATGTTCAAGCGAATACACCAAGAACAAGAGCAGCTGTAGCAAAAGAAGCAGCTGCAGAATCACAAGTGCATGCAACACAAACAAGCAGTCCTGGACCAATCACTAGGAGGTAAGGCATAATTGTGTTGTTTTTCATTTCATTTCACTTAACTTTGGTTCATGTCTTGCTTACACCCATCAAAAACAACAGGAGGCTGGCATTAGAGGTTGGTCAAAGCTCCGTTGAAGTAGCACTTGTACCCGTGCAGGTGCAAGCGGCAGTACAGCCAACCAAGAAATTCACACCAAGGAAAAAACTAGCTAGCAAGCCAAAAAGGCATCACCACCAAAGCTTCTGAAATAAAATGTGTCAATCTGCTATCAATCTGCAAGTATTTTGCTATGTATGGCTGAAATGCGTCAATCTGCAAGTATTTTGCTATTTATGTCTGAAATCGTCAATCTCGAAGTAATATGAACTTCTAATGTGCATGGCCTGATGATGTATTTTTGCTTTTGTAATGATGTATGCCATGATGAACCTGTTATATGGCACCCTAAACCTGTTATATATAGACCATTGTATGGTCTGATGGCCCTGATGGACCTGTTATATGTATAGACCAATGTATGGTCTGATGGACCTGTTATGCATGGCCTGCTTTTGTAATGATGTGTGGCCTACAATGAACCTATGAATTGTATGGTTGATGAATTAAGATATTTGGATGGGACGTGATGAATTAAGGCACTTCTGCTATTGTGTGCATGTTCAGTTTGTTGAGATATATGTCTGGATATGTATGCTGACAAATATTAATCCTTGTACATATATGTGTTGTCATGAAGTTGTATATTATGTTATATATTGCCAAAAAAAATGCTATTGTTCTTGCAATCCTATATATATGTATGGTTTCAGTCAAATGAACTATACATTTAGCTAGTAGTAATAAGTTGTATCATTTTACCTAAATATTGTTTCAGATTCGGCTCTATATTGCAGCCAATGGCTATTAAGGGTATACTAGTCATTTCAGGTGTCCATTCCACGCTGGCAAGCCCATGTGGCGGTGTACAGTGCGAAAAGTGGCAAAAAATTAGAAAAACTTCTCTCTCCAATGGCATATAGTTAACTGCAAACCTAAAAGGGGTATTTGAACAATTGCCAAACGTAAAAGTGGCAAATAGTTAAATTCCCCTTCTTCTCCCCCAATCCACGATCCCCCTCCCCTCTCTCCCGAGGCGACTAGTCGAGGCAGCTCGAGCTGCTTCTGGAATCTTCTCGAACCCTCCGCTTCTTCCGCGATCCTCCTCCTCCTCCTCGTCCTCCCACTCTCTCGCGCTCGGGACCTCTGCCCCTCGCGCTTCTTCCACGAGGCTCCACGGGCCACGGGCAAGACCAGCCGCCCGTTCGCCGCGTGCGCCGCCGCCGCCGTGGATGGGACGGCTGGGGTGGCTCCGGCTCGCGTCGAGGTCTCTCGCGCTACGCTCCGGCGAGGTGAGGCGATTTCGTCTCGTGCGATGCTTGTTTCCATTTCCCCGATTTGGTATTGGGGGGCTTTGGGAAGGTTTAGCTGTTCATTTTGATTGGAGTTTGTGCCTGCAGGTGGCTGCGCAGGGGAGCAAATGGATTCGGCATTCCACGCGTAATTTCCTTCGTCCTGATAAGCTTTGTTCTATCTCGCGTTGGTTTGGTTTTGCGGAATGATTTATCGGTTCGTTCCTCCGCCACCGCGGGCGAGCTACAGCTAACAGCTAGATCCAAATGTTCTTTTCTTTCTCTGTTTTTTCCTTTCCTCTTATGTGATTTGGGGATTTTTGACTGAAAGAGACAAATTAATGTTCAGATTGTATGTATTCTTCAATTGAACGCTAATCAACAATGCATAAAAATTGTCGGTGTGTTTCCTCTTGAACAGAAATTGGGTGGCAACAATGTGCATCTTTTCATTAAGAAAGGCAATGCTACAATAATCTGTAGAAGAATTGAAATTCAATAATGTTACAATTTTTTTCTCAGATGGGTCATGCTACATTCTATTGGCATGCATCTCTTTTGCCTAGGAGAATTTATTTGTCAACAAAGTGGTGAAAAAAATTCTGAATAGGGGCATTCTAGTCTTTATACACTTAGTTCAGATAATGAGCCTATCAACAATCAGGACATAAATTGGCAAATTATTCAACCAACAGATTCTTTAGATAGTTCCATAATCTATAAGTTGATTATAATCTATAATCTGTATAATCATAAGCTGTCCCAAAAGGGGCCATAAACTGATTTTCTGCTGTCGATGTGTCTGTTTGGGATTTAGCACATAATTCTTTAATCTCTACTTGCAAATGTTGTTCGAGGTTGAATCTTATGGATCCGTAAGATGGTGACAAAGGCACATGATTTTAAGGTTGTTGTTTGCATTATTCAGGTTCTATTTAGACTATATGTGACTTCTTTCTTCTTAACTTGTGGTGAACAGTGAACTTGACTACATGGCTGCAGAATAATAGCTTCCGTATCGTACAATACATTTTAGGAAAATGTGTTGGTGATATTGATTACTATTGGGATGTTAATGTAGTATGGGATTAGAGAATAATTTGATATGCTATGAGGACTATCTCATGAGTCGTTCTCCAGAAAGAGAATTAAGATTTTTTGTCTCTGCAGGGGTACGATGCTGATTTAAATCAAACATATCGTCTATTGGCTAAATTGAGGCCATGGGAATTGAACTGTTTCAAATAGTGTGGTTTATGTAATCAAGTTGATGTTGTTTGTAAACATAATCCTGTAAAATTCATGTGTTCCAAATGGGCCCCGTCTTTTTTTTCCTCCTGTCATTCTCTGCTCGTTAACACTTCCCACTTTTTTTTGTTTCATCTGGCGATGCAGCTTGCAGCTCCAGTGGCATCTATATTGGTGATAAATGCTATGGACGGTTCATGTTGACATCATTTACATTGAGCAGGTCTTTTCATGCTACAGGTTGCTGTCCTGGTGTTACATGAATCTCGGTAATCATATTATCTTGTTATTTCAAACACAAAGGCCAATCAAGCATTTTCTGTCGCATCTGCCAGGTCAACACAGTTCACCAGAGAAGGACTATTACAAGATTCTTGGTGTTCCTAAAGATGCTTCGCAGGAAGAAATCAAGAGGGCTTTTCATTCAGTGAGTGTCACATTATAGTTCTCTTTAAGTCCACAAGGCTTGCTCAGTTTTTTTTTTTGGCATGGGCATGAGCATGCCATAAAGTTAATATAATTTCTCAGGTGGTAATATTTTCCATTTCTAGCATTCTTGTGTGTTGCAGTTTACTTTGGAGGAAAAAACACATTGCCGTGTTATTTTCGTCTGTCTCTGTGAAGAATCAAAGTATTGTCTTGAGTTGTTTCTGATGTATATCTTGTTGATCATACCAACAATCAGTCCAACAGCTTAAAACCATTTCTTTTATTATACAGAAAATGCCGCCATACCTCCATAGGTAGATGTTTTAAGAAGTGGTTTCAGACTAGGATTAAGATAAGATAAACTAGATGCACTGGTAGTTGACTTGCGTTAGATTTTGATGATGTTCTACTTGAATTAATTACAGATTACTACTTGTATGTAGCTTGCAAAAAGGTACCATCCAGACACAAACAGGGGGAATACTGCTGCAAAAAGGACATTTCAGGAAATAAGAGATGCATACGAGGCAAGTAAGTTACCACATCTATTTTGCTTTGTAATGTTTTAATCTTTGTGCCAAATTAACAGTATCATAAGTTTGATAATGCTGGACTCTAGACATTGCGCGACCCTTCGAAGAGAGAGCAGTATGATATGGTAATAAATCCCTACCTGCTGTACGCTATTTCTTTATCATCTTCCCCTTTTTTAGGGAATGTGGTATCTTTGGAAATACATCATTTGATAAACATCTCAAGTTAATAGTTTATGGACCATTGTTTTGCAAGATCTTTAAATAGCATGTTAATATTTGAGGTCTGGTAGTATGTCCGTGAAGTTCATGGTCTGTTGTAATACTGCAGCTATTTTATAGAGGGTCTGAGACAAATTCCTCAAAGAGTGGGATGGATTTTGATGGGGCCTATCAAGATCCATTTTCAGGATTCCACAAGCAGGGTCATAATCCCTTTGCAGAATTCTACAGACAAAACAATGGTCCTTTTTCCAGTAAATTTTACAAAATATTCTCCGAGGTGACTCTTTTTCCTTCCATATTTTTCCAGTTTTTACTTAAATAGCTCACAATGGAGTGCAACGCTTCTCTTTGTATTCAGGTTTTTGAGCATGATGTAGATGCACATGCCAACGATATTGAGGTTCATCCTAAGGCTTATGCTTCTTTTACTATGTAACATTTTTTTTAGTCATTGAAACTAATTTCATGGCTTTACTTTCATAGGTAGAGGTGAATCTTTCCTTTAGAGATGCTGTTAAAGGATGCATGAAGCAAGTCTCCTTCAGTGCAAAAAATCTTTGCGACTCATGTGGTGTGCATTTATCCTGGAACAGTTTTTCTTATTTATATTGCACGTACTATCAAGCAAGTTTCAAATCGTCGCAAGTCATGTTTCTAATAAATGCTTGATGCATAAGTTATTTTGCTGTAAACCTCGAAGAAACTTACTGACTGGTAGTGTCCATGTATCTCATCTATCTAGATAGTTTGTCTGAGCATTCAGTCCTGTGGAAAAGGCACTAGTTTAAGCGGTACCATTAGTTAGATTAGCTGTTTTCTGTAGCTTAAGCAAATGAGAAATCCTATTCCATTAGATTTTCCTTCAGTTATCATGCCACATGATATCACAAATATGGTACCATCAATGATGCTCATGTAATTTCTCCCTCCAACTACTGCCAAGCATGTTCTGGGGTGTCAGTTGTATCTGAGTTAATAATTATTGGGTATGACTGGTAGTATAGGATATGTCAGCATTTTATATGATCGCTTATGAAACTACTACCATGTACTTTTGCAAAATTTAATTAAAGCTTTTCTAAAAATCAATAACTGAATCTAGATCATGTCCTAGTGTCGTAAATAAGGTGAGCAGACAATACCTTTTTTTTAATATATATATATATATATATATATATATATATAACTTTAAATGCTTGATTTTTTTAGAGTATGCAGGAGAATATATGCTTGTTTTTTATGATGACTTGCTGAATAAATACACTACACAAAGCTTTAAGGTTGATTGCCCTGATCTAGCATATACTGCCATATGTACGGTCGTCCACTAGTTCTCATTTGGCATGCATTGCCCTTTCTTTTTGACCCGATCTAGCATATACTGTAATATATACAGTAGTCCACTAGTTCTCATTTGCCATGCATTGTCCTTTCTTTTTGAGTAAAGCTCTCATGGTATTGTTTGATGTCAGATGGGAGAGGGTACTTGGCCAATGCAAAGATGTATGTTTGCCCTTCATGTAGAGGTGCAGGAAGAGTAAGTATTTGCTTTTATATTCAATTTTCCCTTTCTAACATGAATGCTGGATATGCTTTCTAAACATATCCACTGGTGGTTTGTGCAGGTTTCCATTAACCCATTCACATCCATTTGTACTTCTTGCAGAGGCTTTGGGAAAGTAATTAAGGTAAGGGTTCTGTGAGTAACATGTCAGATTTTTCTTTTTTTACCCTATCTCATTTGTGACTATTTTCACAGGATTACTGCCTGACATGCAAAGGTTCAGGGGTGGTAGATGGCATGAAATATGTAAATGTGACCATTCCAGCAGGTGCTGTGCAGCTAACCTTAAATTATCGTTGTTAGCCAGCTCCTTTCCCTGAAACGGCTACAATTGTCAAAATGATTTACATTTTTTCTATTCCACTTAAAAAAACTTCAAATAAATTTCACAAAACCCCAGGTTTGCGGGTATGCATAACACGACTTTTACCAGTCATTGTAGCTATATTACAGACACACGTCAGGCTAACACATGCCAAAACCTAGCTCTATTACTGCGCCTTATCCACATATATTGCACATGCATTCTCGTGAAAAATGTAAAATCTAAGTTAGCTTGCATATATATTGCTCCATCTCTTTGCGTTGACAGGTTCATTCAAGGAACATCTGGCATCTGGGCTGCTATGTTGTCATTCTAGTTTCTAGTTTTTTCTTTTCTCAATTGTAAAAAGGATGTTGCTTCCTAGTTTGCTAAGGTTGTTTTGAAACTCTTTATAGGTATGACATGTTGCTTACAATTAAACTTAAGTTGAGACTGTGAATTGTGTTTTCATGTTAATTACTCCTTGTTTCACTCAACATAGGGGTTGATTCTGGCGATACAATTCATGTACCAGAGGCTGGACATAGTGGTGGACGTGGAACCCTACCTGGAAGTTTGTACATTAAGCTTCAAGTGAGAAAACACCTACATGAATGCTTGACCTTTTTTTTTATGAACTTACAAGTTCTGTGAATATATTGGTGCACATAGTTATTTATTATTGCTGACATAAGCCTTATTTGACTTGTCAATGTTAAAAGTTTGTTGCTTAGTACTGAGGTGCTAATGAGGATAAGGAAGATAGGAAAACATGAGGATTACAATATTTCGATTTGTCTTGGCGTATTTGAAGTTTAGAATGAAAATAATATATTAATCAGTTTAAACAATTGTGCTTGTAGATTTTACTCATTCCATTTTTGTTCGGTACTATGTTGAAGGAAAAGAACAATATTTTCTATAAATATTGTAGCAAAGTCATGAAATCATGCATTAGCTGAGATGATTCATAGGTATAGAGAGTCTTGCATTTCTATGTAAGCACCTTAAGTCCTTAACAGGGTTTTCATGATTTTTGCTGCAAATTACGGGGTCCTGGCTCTCACTATGTAGCTTGTTATGGATTAGTTTGCATGTATATGTATTAGGACAGACTAGTTTCCATCCTTTGGTTCATCCAAATATGTGCGTTAAAGAATCTATGACTCTGACCAAAATATAATGGCCACTTGTTGCACTATAGGATTCCTCATCTTTATGCAAGTTTGACACCATGGGACTTCATAAGTCTCTCTATGTTGTTTCATTGTCTTTCAGTCATGGTCATGTTCTCTGTTATTCCGGATGACCCTCCAAGTAGTTTGTTTTGCCGTTTATCCTGGTTAGTTAGATCTATGTAGTATAAATACATGCAATGTACTGGCTTGTGCCATGTGTGAGCAGTACGCTATTAGCCTCAGCTTATCTCAATTCTCAAGCAACCCAGCTGCTGATTCTTCCATCAACTATGTATATCATAGGTAGCAAGTGATCCAGTGTTTGTTCGTGATGGTGCTGATATCCATGTAGACAAAAAGATTAGCTTCACACAGGTAGTAACAAATATTCCTTCTGTTATTAATATTTAATATAGAGTAAGCATTTGTAAGAAATACACTACTTTTCAGGAATATTTTCCTACTGCTAACATATGTACTTCGTAGCTTGCTTCCCTCCTAATATAGACTGCAAGTTATGCGAATCATCATTCTAATTACAATTCAAGAAAAATCTAGTCCATTCAGGCAATAAAAACTCTCCATTTTTCACTATAAATACTATCTTGAGAGATGTAGAAGCCTTCAGAGGTTGACGATGCTGTCTTGGTGAACCTATAGAGGTGGTGAAATCAGATGTGATAGTTTGTTAGATTTGGGGAACACTATTATTGTGATTATTCTCTGTTGAAAACTCTTGTATCAAACTGCACTTGATGAATATCTGTGCCTCTGTGGAGGCCCTTCGAATTTGTGCTATTAATTAATGGTGATTGTGAATTGTGATGATATTGTTGCTTATTGTTTTCTTCCTTGAAAAAAATGACAGGCAATGCTTGGTGGAAAAGTTGAAGTGCCGACTTTAGATGGCACAGCAGAAGTTAAGGTAACAAATTAGCAATCCTCATATACTACTACTAAAGATTAGGCACTTCTGTCATAGTAACATTTTATATAATTTTGACTATTTGCTAATCTTGTCTATATACATGTACACACGTATAAAGAACTAGTAGGATAAAAAACACCATCCTTCAATTTAAGGGCTCGAAGTTCCAACTGTAAATCCTAAAATGGAACATAGATGTTACAATCTCTCCTTATTGAGATATAAATATATAAAGAGAGAGATGATGAGAGAGAAGGATATAAACGGCTTATTTTTGGTTGGGGGCTGGTTATACCGGTTGACATAATTGATGGATTAGATACTAGAACTTTACAGTTGTATAACAAATACAACTATTGTAGTTTTCCATAAAGACCTTGATATTGTATAACAAATACGACAGGAAAAGGTCCATCTTTTGTCCCTTAACTCTCATCAGAGTTAAATTTTCACCCTAAACTTCTATATCTTTAAGTTTCACCCTTCAAATGCTAAACTGGTGCAAATTGCGTTTATGTGGCTTCGCGCCATTACTTTTCGTTTTTCTTTTGCGAAACAGATCATTAGTTAGCACATATCATCCACATCATCCTATTTGGAAAAAGTTAAGACATGAAGTCTTGAGCGACCAAAGTTGGACTTTCTTCATTACATATTGTATTTACAAACCTAGCCATGCAATGTTTCATAGAATGTATCCCTTTATATTTATAATGCCCGGTAACTTGGCCTGACTTTATGGAAGCATCAAGCATGTCTCCATGTTACCATAAATTTCATGAGATGGTGTGTTTGAAGTGTGAATTTTCGTATTTTGCGTAGTTGATATCTGGTGAATTTTTTTCAGATACCCAAAGGAGTTCAACCAGGGCAGGTTATAGTTTTAAGGGGTAAAGGTAAATTATGCAATTATTAATTAAATCTAAGACCAGAGTGTGTTCCTAGCAAAGTGCTAAATATATTACTATTGTCAGGATTGCCCAACCAGGCTGGGTATCTTGGGGACCAACATGTCCGATTTCGAATACATTTTCCCTCGTAAGTTGTTTGTCCTTTTCGTGTTACCTGTTTCTGTTTTGCAACATATGGATGCACCCTATGATCAAGTTACTTGATATGCTGGCATTCCATTTCCTCTTATCACATATTTGTTTTTGAAGTAAACCGTGCAGTAGTCCCTTTCGGACTGCACTTCATACAGCATGCAAAAATTTGCACCAACTATAGAAAGAAATGTTGGCTACAAGGATGACAAGGAAGAGGACCAAAAATGCTATGGGTGCAATAACCCGTAGATGTTCTGCAGAACTGGTTTTGGTAACCTAAAGCTGGACCAGTCTAATAGGATGGGTTAAACTGGTCAGGGGAACTTGGTCTCTGAGTTAAGTTTGACCTTTTATAGGACATAGTGTTGAATTATGATTGGATCGCACAGATCTCTTTTTTAAGCATTTAGGCTAACTGGTTGGCACTTGGCACGTGGAACTCATATGGTATGCCTAGAGGTCCTGAACTCTAGAAAAGATAGTCCCAAGAGGTGTACTGGGTTCCTGCTGTTGTTGATAATCCCAAACATGGGGGCAACTAGTCAGTGCATGAAATTTTACAGATAACAGCGTCAGCATCTCATACTTCATTTTGATTTACGCTGAGCTGACGTTTAATATTCTATGACCTTTTGACCTTACTTTTGCTCCATTGTGGATAAATCTCAAGTCATCAATACCTTTCTATTCAATTTGGTTCATCTAAAGGGATTTACACTGGTCTTTCGCAATTTCATCTAAAGAGATTTACACAGTGCATCACACTTCAATTTGATTTCTGATCAACACAATTTAATCTGCAGAATGGTTAATGAACGTCAACGTGCCCTGTTAGAAGAATTTGCAGTAGAGGAAGCCACGAAGGAACAGAGTTCCTTTTCAGCTGGAAACTGGTAAGCAACCCTCACATCATTATGTGAACCTATATTGGAATAGAATGGTAATCGCAGGATCAATCATTGAAAGATGCATGATTTATTAATGTCCATCTATTGATCAATTTATTCACTTGAAGAAAATGTAACGATCAATGTGTTTGCTTTATTCTGGTCTTTTTAGTTTGTTGGACCTGGCAAGCAAGCGATTCACCTGACCTACCGAACTTTCATTGCTAATATTTGTTGTTTTTATTTACTGCTTGCATCGTCTGGTAGTAATAAAGATGAAATTTCAAACAGGCTTTACCAGCAGCTGTCTACTGGTTGATACTTACAGGTGGGAGCTAGTTGAAAATATGAAGGGGCAAACTTTCTTGCTTGGGCTTGGCTTCCTCGTACTGGTTCACCTGCTACTGACCAAGACTGTGAACTAGGCTTCACAAGGAACATCTGGCGACATCACATCGTATAAATTCTCTGGAGATTTAAAACCTGGACATCGGTCATCATGATTATTCAGCTGCAGGGATCCGTGATTTTGGAGGCGCAGGGCAGAAGATTGCTCGTTCCATTGGAAGAGATACTCATACTAGTTTGAATTTTGATTCCCATTACAGTCGAATCACAAGCTGTACGGAGTTTTATTTTGTAATGCTCCAATAATGGGAGAACAATGGGGATGCTAGGTTTCAATTCCTAGTTTTTGCTGTGTTTTTTGTTTTTACCAGCATATAATTTGGGTGCTTAATAGGGAGGATAGCTACAACCAGCAGAAAGTGACTTTTTCCTACGCCCGTGCTGCGTGGAGTGTTGTCTTGTAAATTCATGCTGTCATGTAGGAGTAGGTCTTCATGGAGGCCTAAAAACTCAGCCAAAAATGGCCCACATATTGAATGTTACGTTGTACAAGTTTGATCTTGAATTTTGCATGGCAGATGAGAAGAGCATGCTCTTATTCAAATTCCTTAGTATCAACAAATTTCAAATTCGAGTTTCTGTTGTGTCATCCTTTCAAAAAAAAATTCTAAGTTTGACTAGTGGATTTGGCAACTACTCCATTTCTCTGTTTTAAAATAAATCAATCTAGCATATGAAGGGATATATTACTTGATGGTACAACAAAAAATTTGAACTAAGTACCATGAGAATCTAGACAGCAAATTTGAACATTAGTACAATGAGAATCTAGACAGATACTTTATCCGTCCTAAAAAAACTTAACTTCTAGAGTATGAATTTTATCTAAAAAATCAACTTCTATCATTCTATCTTACTTTTTTTTAATGATTATGGACATTTCAGTCATTCTTCATCTCTATTTTTTTAATGATTATGGACATTTCAGTCATTTTTCATCTCTATTTTTTTGTCTTGAGATACTAGGATTGGCTTTTTTTATAGGACAGAGGGAGTATGTCTCATTTAATATTAGTTTATTTTGTATAAAGAGAGAATTCCCTTCATCCCATAAAAAACCAACCTAGTATTAAGTGTGGCATATTCTAGTACTAAAAATTTAGACATATCTCTGTTAGATTCGTTGTATTAGAATATGTCATATTTTTAGATTCGTTTTTTGTTTTTTTTGAGACGGATGGTGTATTGTTTTGCAGCACGGGTAAGAAGACGTTGACCACCGTACGCCATGGCCCCGCCGCATGACATCTGTGCCACTCGTCGTCTGTCCAGGCGCTGCGCCTCTCCAGACATCGGTGCATCGCAGGACCGAGGGCTCCTGCCTCCTGGACTTTTTGAGAGGGAACCACCCAATTGTATAGTGGGGACGAAAACTTTTTTTTTTAGGGGAAATCAGGATTTCCATTACTATGACACTGCTAAATCATCAGCAACCAGGTACATGATTTGTGCCGGAGTAGGAGCCAAAACAGGGGCCTCCGCCGGATCGCAGACACTACCCATAGCTGCCAGTTCATGAGCTACTCTGTTATATAGCCGAGGTACATGACTAACACTCCAGGAAATGAAATTCAGGCGCAGTAAGGATTGAAGCTCTGCCACCAGGAACGACACGTCGCTCAGCTCGAAATCGTTTGTGTAGACCGCTTGGATCACAGCCGTCGCGTCTGTCTCAATCATCCCCCGCCCTATTCCCATCTCCACTGCTGCCTGGACTCCCTGTAAGCATGCAATAAGCTCACCATGGAGAGGATGCATCAGATTATTCACTCTCCCCCGGTAAGCAGCCACCACATCACCATCCGTATCACGGATAACTTTGGCTGTATATACATGTATAGTTCTTTTTTTTTTTGGAGAGATTCGTTCCCATAAACATCCATCCGATACTGCCACATTTTCAAGTGTTGATAATAAAAGCATTCAAAATGGACAGCTCCAGTGTTTTCCCATACATCCCATCATTACAACACGCGGAAGGCCACAACAAAAAGAACACATTTCGAACACGTATAGAAGCTAGTGAGTGTATCGTCTCAAATGGCTCCGAAGCACACAGCCGCGAAGGATCTGAAACAGGAGACACTCAGAAGCGAAGGAATCGATCGCGGAAATAGAGATGCCCCCCCAGGATTGCTACACAGGATCAGGATGACTCTCGACTGAAACTTCTGCTTTGGTATCTACGGTTGCATCTCGCGGGCACTATTCATGGCTTCTTGGAGGCTACACACGGCTTTGTCATACATCAGAAAACCCATGAACCAGAACTCGTGGCCTTCAACTGAAACAACCTGAATATACTTTTCAGCAGGGTTTACTTTGCTCACTGAAGGATTAGCCGCTCTTAGCTGGTGCAGAGGAATGACCACCTGTTTATCCAAAAAGAACATATGAGATAAATATGGACGATGCCCCTACGTTTAGAAGTATTTAAACATCAAATTGGATCAAGCTCGTTTTGCCCTTTGATCCAAAAAAAAAAAAGGATCAAGCTGCTACTACAAAAGTTATGAACTACTAGGTATTAGTATGTAGCAAAAAGCATCACCAAGCTACAGGAATGACTATAAGCATTATGAACATGCCAGATTCAACTGGTAGCTATCTAGGCAAAAATTCTGTTCTTCAGGAGTAGAAGTGTTCATAAATGAGTCATGCTTGAAAAGTAATGGAACTTTGATTCTCTAATTTTGTTCCATCTTTCCATGGTGCAAAATTAAGAGCTGATAACTGTTCTTATCATGCTAACTATCCAACAGTAAACTACAGTTCACGGTTCACAAAATAAAGGAATAATCAAACACACAATCATGGGACTTAGGCATAAACTAAGCACGTAAAATTAAAAGAAAAGGTGAAGCATGGAAATAAGATGAAGGTCTCATAAGCACTGCATAGAGTCTACAAGGAAATGAACAATTCTTGCCTTGTAGTAACTCCATTCAGTTTTATTTCCAGCTTTGTAAGAGAGAGGATTGTCGCTGCAGAATGCAATTTTAGCTGTAGAAATGTACATGACTCCCATGACAGGACCAGCAGATGTTGATAGATAGCATGCATAAGATATTTTCAGCTGCTCCTCAGGAAGAACCTCAAAAGTTTGCCTGAATATTTTTTCATAGCCACCTTCTGCTAAGACTTTAGTTCCTTGAGCAAGCCGTCCCATAGCAGCTTCAGTAAAACTAGGTCCTGTCTTGACTGATTAAGAGGCAAAGAGTGTAGTCAGACATCTAGTAGATATTCTACATCTGTGCAAAAATATAGTTCATGTAATATCCTGCATAGCACCGGGTTGACCATGTACAAAATAACGTTTGGGTCTCTCAGCCTTTTGCATAAGAAAAGTGAATTATTCGCAGACTGCCCATCATTTGACCACAATAACTATTCTAAAGTAATTAAAGTGTGAAAATTGTTCATGGGGCAGATGATCATTGCTTTGAAGGATAATTCACCCAAATGTGTGACTTCTTTGGATGTTCATCTATATGCACAGTTGATATTTACAAGGTTTGCTAGTTCAAGGACAAGTTGACATAAGAATTTATACCTGGCTCCCTACCCCACTGGCTCCTAGGAGCCAGCTATTTAGCCCTAACCAGTTATCATCAGTATTTTGCAAAATTATTATCATTCTTCCTAAGAGGTTCATCGTATATTATAATTGCAAGAGAACAACAGCATAGACATGCATTTGCTGGTTTGTATAGAAAAACTGGCCGGTCAAGTCTCTAATTATTAATGCTGTCATGATCATTCAATCAGTTCAAATTCACACGGAAAACAAACAATGGAATTAACCAAACAGAAGGGACACAAAACAAGTTTCTTCATCACTAACTCTCCAAGATCAATTCGTCCTACTACACAATTACCAGTTCCTTTGGATATTCAATTATTTGAGAAAGATGAAGAACGTCGTTAGCAGAACAAAGCTTTCTGGGGAACTGAGCACAGCACTGAAGCTTTAAAAACAACTTACAAAACATGCCCGTAAAATAGAGGGTATAAAGCATAGAAAGCTACGCCAAATGTTTTCACAAGCTTCAAAAGATGCTGATACTTCCAAACCAATTTCTATAACCATCATCTAACTGTTGAAGGAATCTACCTTAAGTTTTCACTTTCCAACTTTATCTACTCCCACATTCCTTCCTTCGATCATTACAAAGCCAAAAGAGCCTAGTGCCTACGCGACGCAATCCGTGGACCTCAAGAAATGAATCTTGCAAACAATGGAACAAAAAAAAGCTAGGCTCCGGTAAAATTGGGAGAGCTGAAGTGGGCTCAGAGATCTCACAGTGCTGCCACGTGTCCCGGCTGAGGCTCTCGACCATCTTGGTCGTCTCCCCCACCGACTTCCCCCACCTGGACAGCGTCTCCTTCATGGCCTCCACCGCGCCTGCGGGCTCACAAAGCACCAGAGCAAAGATCAGAACCGAAACAATCCCCCCCTTCCTGAGACAGCATCAGAACGAACCCCAGCGGCGGCGTTAAGCGTTACCCTTGGAGGACGAGGAGGCGGGGCCGCGGGAGACGTACTGGCTGGACTCGGCGGCCTCGGCGGTGGCGGCCGCCACATAGGTGGGCGACTCCGACGTCAGCTTCTCGCTCCACGTGACGGTCTTCTGCCCCTGCGGCTGCGCGGGGGGAGGCGGATCGGCGGTGGCGGCGGCCACGGCGACGGGGGGCGGCGGCGGCGGAGGGGAGGAGGGGTCGGAGGCGGCGGGGGGGTCGTCGGATCTGGGCACCGCGGGCGCCTCGGCGGCGGCGGCGGCGGCCGGCGGAATCTCGGCGGGCGTCTGCATCTGGGCCGCCGCCTCCTCTCCCCGACTCCGCGCGAGGAAACCGAGGAGAAAATGGGTCGCGCGTTTCGGGTCGGAGCGGAGTGGAGGCGTGGCGATGGGCTGGAGTGGTGGTGGTGGTCGGGGTCAAACCTTTTGTCTTTGTTGGTGGGTAAGGAGGAGTAGTGCAGGAGAGGGAGAGGGCGGGTCGCACGCGATTCCGCAACCGCAACGGCCAAAGTAGGGGATTTCGGGTCGTCGGCGCACCGCAGCTTCCAATGGAAGGATGCGTAGACGACGTGGCACGTGGCCACGTGGGTAGCAAAATTGGGCTGCATGGACCAAAATCCCGGTCCGTTTCTTGGGAGTAAATAAGTCCATATTGCCTCCCTAATGTAGGTAGAATTTGAAGCTATGCTTGGGGAGCTTCAGATTATAAGAATCTATTGGTTGGTAGCCAGCTTCTAATAATCTGGAGAAGTTCGATTTTTCAGCTTCTGGGTTCTAGTTCATTTTCTAGATTCTACAACTACAAATTCTTAGAATCTATGTGACAATTTGCACTGTTTAGGGAGCTGAAGATTTTGGGAGAAGCTGCAGCAGCTAGAAGCTCCCCAAACAAGCCCTCAATTCACCCTTAGCCGCTATATTGCCGCCTTCAATTAAACCAGTGTTTTTTAAGGTATGTAACGTGTAAGGCTGAGTTTCCAACTCACTTTTCTTGTTTTTCGTGTGCATGATTTTCAAACTACTAAACGGTGTTTTTTTTAAAAAAAACTAACTTTTACAAGAAAGTTGCTTAAGAAAATCATATTTGTAAAATCAAAGTGTTTGTATTCTTATTCTGTGATGAACAATTGGCATCTGCAATTATTGGTTTTGATATTTGAAGATTATTGGCGAAGTGGTTTTTGAGATGATTGGATTTACAGGTGTTATACAGATACTGTTGTGATTTGGGTCCGGTCAGATCGGGCAGTGGTTGCCGGTCAGACCAGTGTGTATCGCGCGGTCAGATCGGCTTAGCCCGAGATCTGACCGGCCGACTCTGTGTCGGTTTCGGGTTGTTTGTTCGGATATCCATGATTATTTCGTGTTTCTGGCTTCTAGACGGATACTATACGTATGTAATACTGTTGTTTGCTAACAATAAGTCAAGTTGGAGATAGCTTGGTCTCGGAATATGGTTTCTTTGTTTGATTCATGTGTAAGTAACTTGATGCCTCGGGAGAGTATTGCCGGTGATGGATTGGGAGTCGACTTGGGGATAAGGCGATGTCCGTGACGGTTAGATATCATGCGGGATACTTAGGCTAGAGTTCAATGCACGTGGTTGGTGAAGATTTCATATGGCATACGATGGAGGTATTGTGTGCATATGGGATGTGGAGTCGAATTTAGAAGGAGTCCAAATTTGGTATGATTAGAGTTTGTAAAGTTTGTTTCTTGTACGGGAAGGTTTCCTACGTGGATTAGGACTTCTTGTATAAGTTCGGTTCGTGGCTTTAGGCTGCCTACCTCATGTATAAATAAAGATGGAGCGTGAGGCTTCCCGGTATCGCTTTTGAGAGCATTGTGTTGAGAGTTGAGTTAGGGTTTCGAGTTTAGTCGAGATTTTCGTGAGGAGTGCTGTTGTTGCACTCTGTAAACACAGAGATAAGTAATAAAGTTGTCATCAACTTTGAGAGTTCTTTAATTTGTGTTTGTTCGGGTTCGACGGTCTAACCGGTGAGATACTGGCGGTCAGACCGGCGATATCGCGGCGGTCAGACCGGCGGCATACCTACGGTCAGACCGGCGGCGACTACAGCAGCATCTGCTGATCTTGACGGTCCAACCGGACGATCTACTCCGGTAAGACCGACGGCTTCCAGACGGTCAGACCGGCAGGACTACTTCGGTCAGACCACGATCCATCGAATTTGAGGGTAACTTTTATTTCCGCTAAAAGTTTTAGTTTTTAGGTACACCAACTATTCACCCCCCTCTAGTTGGCTTAGTTCTTGTGTTTCGATCCTACAATATTAATTCATTTTAAAAAACAGATACTTCCTCCGTTTTATATTATAAGACTTTCTAGCATTGCTCATATTCATATAAATATTAATGAATCTAGACATATATGTGTGCCTAGATTCATTAACATCTATATGAATGTGGGAAATACTAGAAAGTCTTATAACATAAAACGGAGGTAGTACTTGATTAATCATGAGCTAATAGGTCACTCCACTTTACGTGTGGGAGTAATTAGGGTGTGTTTTGTTGCTCGAATGCCAGGAGTAATTAGAGTGTGTTTTGTTGCTCGAATGCCCTCAGCCTGGCTCGTATGCCTCATCCAGGCTGGGTTTAGCCTGGTTAGAATGATGCAATGGGAGTTGTTTGGTTGTATACATTAGATGAGCCCGGCTCCTAACACCAGGCAAAGAACACCGCCTAAGGCTGTGTTTAGTTCCACGTCAAAATTGAAAGTTTAAAGAAATTGAAACGATGTGACGGAAATATTGAATGTTTAAAGAAAAACGTTGGAATCTAAACAGGCCTTAAGTGGCATTATAGTCCACGCTGGTTTGGTCCACCTACACTGCATTCTGCAACGCCTAGTTGGCCTGCATCAACCAGCAGGAAGGAAAGCCCGACTGACTTGAGGTGGTCCGCATCCTCGTTTCTCAGGTTCTGAAGACCCTTGATGCAGATAGAGATTATATACAACTAAAATTAACCTTGAACGTATCTGACTGTAATGGTGATAATTCATTCCACGAGTATTGAGAGTTCATGTATTGCATTATTTGTGCTGCTTTCTAGTTATATCTAACGTACGTCTTAGTGTTTATTAACCGCCATTGAGAATTGAGATATGTAGAGAACCCAAACGAGAAAATCTGAAGGCAATTTATTAACTGATAATTCACCCTTGGCCATATGAGAAAATTCACAAACAAAACGAAATACAAAGAAGATGAGATCAAAGTTCTTGCTTACAAGGACAGTATACCATCTTGTTGGTCACTGATGCTTCCCCTTCTTCATCTGAGTCAAGAACTGATCAAGGTGGAACGGATCCTCCTCCATCTCCGGCCCGTCAAACTCGACGGGCCTCTCCCTCTTGCCGGCGGCCACGCTCGCCGGAGCTCCGGTGAACGCCTTGTCGGGCACGAACCTGCGTGTCTTGGCAATCTTCCCGAGGTGCTCGTCGGCGTCGCCGTAGGCGTCAGGGTCCTCCTCGCCGTGCTTGCTCGGCTTGTAGAGCGTCGACAGCGCCGGCTGCGCCGCGAAGAGCCTCCCGGAGTAGACGTTGTACTGGTCGTCGCCGGCGAACCCGGAGCCCATTCCCTTCTCCTGGTTGAACAGCCGCTGGTCGTAGGTGACCTCGCCGCCGCCGCCGCCGGTGTTCGCCATGCCCAGGGCGATCCTCTCGCTGACGTCGCGGTCCCTGTCCCGGGTGGCCGCGCTCTTCTTGCTCGCCGCGGCGGCGGCGGCCCTCGCCTCGAGCCGCCTCTCGCGCCTCCGCTCCTCGCGTATCGCGTCGCGCTCTGCTGCCGCCTTCGACCGCTCGCTCGGCGCCGGAGGAGCGGCGCCGAGCATCTCCGCGCGCGCCTTCGTGGCGAGCTGGAGGAGATGCTGCTCGGCCTTCTCCTTCTCCCTCATCTTCATCTCGGTGTGTACCTTGGCGCGCGTCTCGACGGCCTCCCGGGCCTTCTGCTCGGCGGCGTACAGCGCCTCGGCGAGCGCGGCGAAGGCGTCGCTCACCTGGACGTCGTGCAGGCCGCGGCCGTCCAACGCCGCACGCTTGTCGAGCGGGATGGAGTAGCCCTTGGGGTTCTTCCAGCTCGAGATGCTGGGCGGCACCTTCCAGTCGTCGTGGTCCTTCTGCGACGGTGGCCGCGGCGGCGAGCGCAGCACTGGCACCGGCGGCGACCCGGCGGGGGCGGGCACTCGCTTGTGCTTGAACTTGGGCGGCTCGAGCGGGTCCTGCTGGGTCTCCCCCATCCGGATGATCCTCTCCGCCGCGCCGGAGTTGAACGCCGATGTCTGCCGCGCAGGCGTGTACTTGATGAATTCCGGGTCGTGGTTGCTGGCCAGGGTGTTCGACGGCTGCACGGCGGAGAGGCGTTTCTCGACGATCGCACGCAGCGCGGCGCTCGTCCGCGCCGTGGTCTCCTCCACGGCCGCCTGCTCGTCATCGTCGGCGTCGGCGGCGGCGGCGTTGATCTTGGGCAAGACGTCGCCGGGGCTGGAGTACACGGTCTTCCCGGCGTTCTCCCCCTGTCTCACGACGGCGTCGAACTCGACGCGGCCGCCGCTCCCATCGACGGTGAGGCTGAGCACGCCGCCGGAAGACCCCCGCTGCTCCCCGTCGCCGTCGCCGCCGCGGCGGCCCATGTCGAGCGGGTACTGCGCGACGTGGACCTCGGGGAAGGCGCCGCCGTCGCCGAAGTCCTCCTTCCTCCGAGGCGCGAGCGCCGATCGCCTCCCGTAGGGCGGCACGGGATTCACCGCCCTCGACGACCTCGGCGCGTCCCCTCCGCCGCCGCCGCCGCCGTACCGCTCCTTGAACCACTCGTCCTCGGTGTGGTCGTGCGGCGGCGCGCCGCCGCCGTGCGAGGGGTCAGGCAGCCGGAGAACCATCACGAATCACGAGGCAAATCAATCCACTACGACCGGAGATGCGCGTGTGGGTGATGGACGTCCGGGGCCCGCCTCGGCCTCGACGTCTTGTAGGCGATCGAGACGCCGACTCCGTCACCGACTCGAGCTCCGAATTCTTCGTGGCGTTGGACCCGCTCGCGCCTGTGTCAGCGGCCCATGCAGGCCCAATCATATGGGCTGCACGTAAGTAGTAATCTGGCCTACTCTAATCCGTTCCGGCCCAACAGCATGGGCCGCACATAAGTTGCAGTCTATTCTGGCCTAGAATATTTTAAGTCCCTCAATAAAATGGAAACAATTTTGATCCATCGAGGGAATGTTCTCATATTTTTTTTTTCATGTCCCTCAAATGGTCATGAAAAAATTTAAAAACATTAAAGAAGATGTATTAACATGTGATATATTACTCCACAAACATGCAAGTTCAAATTCAATCTCTACATCTCACAACGAAAAAAACAAATTAAACAAATTAAACTATAGCTAGTTAACGCATATTCACAGTAATTTTTTTTCGTTGTGAAATATAGAAGTTGAATTTGAACTTGCATGTTTGTGGAGTGATATATTACATGTTAATATATCTTCTTAATTTTTTTTCATAACTATTTAAGTGACATGCAAACAACGAGGGAACATCCCCTCGAGAGATCATAATCCACTCTCCTTAATATAGGTCCAATTTCCTATAGTTAGGTCTAGAGTATGCATACTACTCCCTCTGTCCCAAAATATAATAACCTAGTATCGGATGAGACATGACTATTATAAATCTGAATATGAATATGTCCAGATTCGTATTCTAAGATATATCACATCCAGTATTAAATTACTAATATGTATAATGAGTAGAGATCAATTTGATTTGGAAGAATGCATGCAGCGTTAGTGCGTTACCGACCTACTGGAAACAGGATAGGTCTTTTGAGCTGTAATAGAACTTTTGAGATGTAATCTTGTAACTAGAAACCACTTTACAGGGTGAATTGGTATCCCTCGACGTAGTCTGTATCTGCCATCGCCCTGGCGCAATTGGCCTGGCAGCTGGCCAGCTGCCGGTTGAGGAGGAAGGATAGAGGGAATGACAAGGAGAGACAGGATGATATGTGAGTACCACGTAATGATTCTGTCAAGTGGATTAGGTCAATAAATAACATCAGCAAATACGTCTCTAAAATTAAATTGCACCGATTAATACGTCTCGAAAATTAAATTGTACCGATTTTAGTAATTAGATGTTTAGATATTCGATATTGCGATCAAATGATACGCATCAGATTGTATAGTAATTAAAGTGGACTTTATTCCTTCTAGCCTATCCATGATGGACCGCGAGCGTACGTGTACTAGATCGCTCGATTTTCCCTTCTTTCTTCTTGCGAATAAAATTTAAACACCGGATGCTGTCATGCTCGCTTCCTTCTTCCCGCCACAGAAACATTGGGAGAAAATTCCAATTCCCATGGTCCCTGAACCCCCAAAACAAAACAGATCGTAAACTCACATGCAAATCTCGCCGCCGCGGCGTCGCCGACCGGAGGAGCTTTGTCGTCTGTATCTTCTCCGGTGGTTATGACTCATGCGTGCGTACGCACGCTACGACGGTGGGGGGCCCTGGGCCGCGGCTACGCCATGGTCGCGGCGAGCTGGAGATGGAGAATTTTTTTTTTTTTTGCCTCCCGGCCTCCGAACAGCTTCAGATCTGTTCTTTTGCTATCATTGTTCTTCGCTCGTCCGGATGCCCGACGCTTCCGACCGAGGAATCCTCGGCTCCTTGCAGCGGTCCACGGAAACTGGTGATGATAGACGGTAATTAATTCAGCCTCCAGTGTACGAGGGCCAGGGCCACCGGTAGATCGATCGCAACACGCATCGACACAGGTATTTCTCGTGATTTTAGTACAACTAATGACTGTTTTTTCACCGGTTTTTCACGTACTCTGCTTTCGTTGCCGCAGATTGAGAGAAATGATTCTACATGGTTCTACATCGATTTTCAGCATAATGTTTTTCACGCACACATTTTTCGAACTACTGCACCATACTCCCTCCGTCAAAAAATAAACAAACTTCTAGATTTAAAATTTGTCAAAAAAAAAATCTAACTTCTACCTTCTCATCTACAATCGGTTTGAAAATCGATAAGTTTTATCTATTCAATACCCCTCATCTACCAACCCATCGATATAACTTTGCTATTAATTAGGAGTATTTTGGTCTTTTGTCTCTACCCTTATATTCACCTTGGGAAGCTATAGTTGAATATTTTGTGGGACAGTGGGAGTTTGCTTTTTCAAAGAATCTAATCTAATATAAAAATTGTTTTAAAAAACATATTAAAAATAATCATTTTATTAATTGTATGCTAATGGTTCACCAATCTACTCCTATCAACCACGTATATGTTATCACTATGTTATAAGTGGCCAACTTATCGTCTCATTGGGTTAACTAACGATTTGCCCAGCGAATTAGATGGAGCTCAATAAACATTTCAGTAAAATTGAAGGTGTCAATGTATGAAGAGGTGAAACGAAATTAAAGAAATTAAGGGCATGTTCACTTTGATGTCATTTTCAACCATACCATTTTTTTAAAGTAAAGTTGTCAAAAAAATCTATGTTTAATTTGTTACCAAATTTGGTAAATACATAAAAAATCCTGTTAAAATTTTGGTAATATTATCATCTTGCTAAAATTTTAACATTACTAAAATTTGGTAAGGTTTATTTTAGCCACAATTTAAATGGTAAGATTTATTTTAGCTACAATCTGAAGAGGGCTAACTCGCGGTGGTTAATCAAGTTTCACGTACTGCTGCAGCAAAGGACACCGCTGTTGCGTGCATAATTGCACGCGCTGCAAGATCTAAGAGGCCGTTCAGCTACAGGTCAAGCGCATATGTCACGTCCACTAAGATCCACAGGGCCAGACAAAATCCTCACCTGACAGCGACACCGTGAACCTGTCCTCCGCCGCCCCCGTCCATCGGACGGCGGCCACCACCGCCGCCGCCGCCTCGTCGCCATCATCGTCGTCGTTTCCAAGAAACTGAAATCCCAGTAGCCTCAATTCCATTAGTGTTCTTTTATGGTAGCGTGATTGAATATTAGCAGTGACGGAGCCAGAAACAATAAAATTCATTTGTTGGTGAAGGGTGCTAATAATGCTAATCTTCTAAAATCTCAAGAAGAAAAACAGTAAAGATAATATGTTTTTTTTTTTGCCAAATTTGAGATAGGCCAGGCCGAAACTGATTGGTGCAGGTAACTCAATAAGCCGAACAATGGCTTCGGTATTTCGCCTTTACAGAGTGCCACAGAAGAATTGGAATCAACTGTGTGAGGGCTGGATTGTAGAGGGATGGAGCAGCTGCTGAGCATTTTCCTGAGGGTGCTGAGCAAATTATTGCCTTCTGCGAGTCTTTGCCATTTGTTTGGAGTGGCAAGCATCAGCAGAAGCAGCAGCATTTGCTTGCGTACAGACTGACAGACAAATGCTGGGCTAAAGGTGCAGACGTGGTGAATTATTATTAGCATGCATACATCTGGTCGTTGGATCGGCCGGTGTGTGATGGGATGCTACTATCTGAATTCTGAAAGATTGAGATAGATAAGCTCTGAATGGCAGGCAATGCCTCTCACTGCCTTGCCTGGTACAGTGGTACTACATGAACTGATTACTTGATGAGTCGCCAGCAAGATCATAAGCTGGAGGACTAACGGTTTTGGCTGCTCGACAGCCCAATCAGGGGCATTTCAGTTCTTTTTTTTGCATGTTTATTTACAAAGATTATCAAGTGCAGCAGCTTAGTACGTTTTTATTACTGTAATATGCATCTGAATGATCCATGTGCATTACTACTGTGCTAGGCACTGTTAAATCTTCAGAAAAGGAAAAGGAGAGAGATGTCTCTGCAGACTGCAATTATGCAGCCAAATTCCAATCTCGTAAGGCTCCAAGAAAGAATCTGAGAATTTTCTCGTCTGCCTGAAACAGAGACCCTTCGAGATCAGCTCTGCAAAAGATTAGTGAAACTGTCATGCCGACAGTGCAGCGTCAGAAAATGTTACCGCTAACTTTACTACAGGCCGAAGAGCATGTTATTCAGTTACTGGCAGTGGCAGATACTCCTATCAGAATGCTGGATCTGAAATTACTTCTGCCGCGCCAAATCACCAGTGGTTTGACTTACCCAGAAGACTGGCATCAAGTGGACTAATAGCTAATTAGCAGAGTAGCAGGTGATCACTAACCCATTACCCATAGCAGCATGTTCAATTTAGGTAAAATTTGCAATGTCTTTTTTTTTAATAATGGAGAGATAAACTGTTTGAAAACGGTAGTAGGGACGAAGCTCTGATTATAATTGAGATGTAGCAGCAAATCTGGGATCTCGAGTATTATCTTCTTAACTTTCGCAAGTTGTTGCTTGCTGCCCAGAAGGCCAGAACAATGCCATCAAGTGGCCTTGCAGCACAGTAGCAGAACTGTGTGGTGCCACTGTACCATCCTAGAAGATGACCAAGAGTTTTACCCATAGAAGAATGCCCAATATTTTTTATTTTTTTCTAAGGACTTGTTCAGTTCATTTCCAAAAAAACAAAAAAAAACTTGCAATTTGTTAGTAAAGCTAAATTTTGGCAAGATCAAGAAAGATATGAAGGTGATGTTTAGTTCGACACATTACCAAATTTTAGTATAGTTTTATGAGCATAAGTTTTTATAGTTACCAAATGTTGGTAGGAATTGAGAAGAGTTCGACACATTACCAAATTTTAGTATAGTTTTATGAACAGAAGTTTTTATAATTACCAAATGTTGGTAGGAATTGAGAAGATTACGATGGTAAAGCCTTGTTTAGTTTGGTATTGCTAAAATTTGATATGATTCATTTTAGCAACAAACTAAACAGGGTCTAAGATAAGATTGCATAATAGACAAATGGGCCTTGTTTGGAGTACAGGAATTTCGTTGCATTCAATTGAGAAGTATTCTATCAAATTCATTGGTTCCTAACAAGCCCTTAGTAAGGGATCAATGCCTAACAGTTAGATTCTCACCTTTAGATTTTCGCTTAGATTTTGAGGATATGTGGTTATAGAATCCGAAAATTAACTAGAAGCTAGAAACAAAACAAACTCGGTTTTTCTATATTATCATTAGTTGGCTCCCAATCACCTGTTTCTCTCAGAATTTTCCCTCAAACAAGAGCCAAAGACATGTTTCAGTGACAAGACCACAATTAATCTCTAATGTGATAAATGATAATGTTGTTGGTCGTACAAAGCTGGCAAAGTGGGGATGAACAAATGGTACATTGGTCCAGCAACAACGACAGTAGCAGCATTCAAGATCAAAAGAGTGAAGGGCCCCGGAAATCTCAGAGCTATCCATAAGTGTCAAACCATCAAGGCATCAACTAGGAGCCTGGACTACAAAAACTACACAATAATAGTACTAGTAATTATAAATACACTTGGATATGAAATGTACATGAGCATGATGGTAGTTGGATCAAGGCTTTTCTTATAGATTGCAATGTTTAACATTGCAATGTTCAACTACCGCAGTACTTAAGTACATGTAAAAAAAATACATTTTTAGAATTTCACATCTGGTTATATAGTATTATCCCGCCTATTGACCATTTCCAGACTGTTGCATTCACAGAGTTACTTAAATCAGGCTCCTAGAATCTTCAGCAAGAACATATAACTAGGAAAAAACATAATGTTTTAGGTAAAGTTATATAACAATTTGTGTGTCCGATTTCATTTTCAATGGGATATTTTATTCAGCAGGGCATAATGGATGCAAGTTAATCATGCTAAGCCATGTAGCATCAAGGATAATAACATATTGTGACAAATAAACTGAAAATGGACCAGTGAATAAGTGTGGGCAAATCCAGGACTAGAAAAGAAATCAATAGACACATTTTCTTTCTCAGATTGTTTCCTTTTCCTCTGTTTTTATATTTTCTTTAGAATCATCAAAGCATATCCATTCTCCAAGGTTCTCTCAAAAATGAATATGGAAGCATGAATGCGAAATAACAAGAGATTGCTCGTCTCTACAAAAACCTGTCCTAATGACCATGTTCTTGGGTCCATTAAAACAAATGGGTGAGCAACATACTTGAAGGCTACAAATGTACAACGAAAACAATCATCTGCAAATTCTCCTCCTTTTGCTTGACGCCGAGCTCTCATAATTTGTTGCAGGTGATCCAACAAAAGTGTCCTCACTTTGTTGGCTTATACATGCAGCTGCATCCAATACACCTATGGGGCTTTTTGGAATGGAGAAAACGGAGCCGGCTGATTGGCGCATAATGTTTCTCATAATAATCTTATCTTGAATCATTTCATAGCACCGTAATACCCTCTCCTACAACATTCAAGTAACATTCTATTAAAATTTGAAAAGCACCCGATCACAGATGAATGCCTCTTAATGCAAGCAAGACAAACTAACAGAGTTACTAAGAAATTAGTGTCATCCAACAAAAGACAGAATCTTTTGTCAGTTTAAGAACAGTGTATTGAAAGATCAAGAGATTCAGTACCTTCTTTAAATTTTTGTAACAAGTTGCCACCCTCTCAAACATGGAAGTTTCATGTTCCTCCAATGCTACTAGAGCTACACTGGCCGCGATCTCTGATGGTCTGAAAACCAAGAATTCAGCAACTGCAGACCAAAATTCCCAGATTTAAGAGTTCATCACCATAACAATCTATAATATTGATGGAGGCATGGAGTGGAACTACAAACATGTCTACCAAAATTCACACCTTTACATGTACTCAAGATGAGGTCAACTGAGCGTGAGAGTGCGGATGTGGACGGAGTATCATCATCATTGAACTTGTGAAGGTAATAATCGATAAATGAGCAAGCAGTCACAGCTTGCATCCTCCACTTTAGGGCATTAAGCACTGCAAGCTCCATCCTTTTTATGGTCCTAGTCTCAAACACATATTTTGCATCACACACCTACAAAACAGAAAATATCAAACTGAAAGAAATGAGAAAAGAAAAACTTTGATAGTATTTGTGCACAACTGTTGCATGTATGATAATTGATTTCACCTGCAAGTCCAAGGGGTGTGGAACAACGGTTTCCTCCATTTTTGCAGCCAAAGACAAGGAAGCTACTGCTAAGAGTTGTGTCATACAAGCCTCCTCTTGCTGAAACTCAGAATGCAATTGCTCCATGACTTGGCATTTATCTCAGAAGCATAAAAAAATCGAGTTTGTATGAAATACAGTAACAATGCAATGCAGAGAAAGATCTTTACAGGAAGATCGAACACGGAGAGGAACCGGTCCAGGTAGTTCACCGACAGGACTGCAGTCAAAGGCCCAAACTTATAAAGCTCATGTACCTGACAAGCAACAGTTTCAGTCAAATCGTATACAGGGCATGACAGGTAAACCAGCAAGAACCAAATCAAGAACAGGAGAACACAAAACAACGCAACAAAAGGGGACATTTTTACCGAAATGTATACCATCACATCTCATCCTGAATAGTACTAGCAAGGAGTGATGAAAAACAACGAACAGAAGCTCACCTTCCAAATCCAGTCAATGGCGTCGCTCCTGACGGCTACCAAATCGAGCCCATCAGGCTGCAGCAGAAGCCGCTGGAGGTAGCCCTCCATGGGGATGTGCTGCTGCTCCTCCCTCCCCAGGAGGGCCTCGATGCAATCATCGGATTGCAAGGGGAAATCCATCGACAAGTCCCCTAGAGAAGCATCAACCCCAACAACCCAAGAAATCTCCTCGCTCTCTTCGCCAAGATCAAGAATGGCGGTGTTGTCCTCCGCGCAAAGGAGGATTGATGCCGCAAAATCAAAGCTCGGTGCCATCCTAGATCACTCTTCAAGGTGCAAACTAGTAGCTAATCTCTAATCCACTACTTGGTAGAAGAAAGGAACTAATAAACTAGTAGCTAATCCACTATTATTTGGAAGAGGAAAGGACTAATCTTGTTCTACCACTAGTAAATTTTTCAGATTCTGTTGGTCTGTTTCGATTTGATGCTTCTCCTCCCCCTTCAAGCCTCCCCAGACTATTACTGCTTCTCTTCTTGGTATTATATAGGAGTACTACTTGAGAGCTAGAAAATGTTCTTAGCTTTCTCTTGTTCTTCTTGAAATGAGAGGAGGGGTGAGGAAGAGAAGGCGAGAAGGGGTCGAGAGGGTGCCTGGGTGAGAGGCACTGTATACAGACACAGTAGGGAGATGAGGGGGAGCCGGAGAGGCGGTCTCGTCTCCATTAGGTAAGCTTTTTTCTTTTTCTTTGGAACGGTGTGAGCTAGGTTTGCAGTAAATTTTGGTCCGTGTTTAGATGACCCTCAACTTCTAACTTTTTCATCATATCACATCATATCAAAAACTTTTCTATACACATAAACTTTCAACTTTTTTTCCAAACTACTAACTTTCTCCAAACTTCTTTTTTCTTCTTTTTTTTTTAAACTAAACACAGTCTGAATAGATTATGCTCTTAAATCAGAATATACTCTGAAAAAATAGATTTACCAAAAATTAAAGATATAAATAAATTTAGTTTGACGTGTCACACTTAAAAGTAAATTTCACAAAACAAAGCTTTAATAAAATTATCGCAAAACTATAGATTTAAGTCATAATATCATAAAATTATAGATTTATTATTTTAAAAAGCTATGAATTTAAGCCATTGTTTTGGGATACAATTTTGTCAGTAAATCGATGCTCCATCATTAGTGGCATCTTTCTTTTTTTATAAAACTAAAGATAGACAATTTATTCACAAAACTACATATTTTAAAAATCTATCGTGGTAATAGGTGTACGGATAGCATATCTAAAATCTATAGTTTTGTAGAAAAAAAAAGACAACACCAAATCCATAGTTTTGATGTACAGTAACTTAAATATGTAATTTTGTAATATTATAGCTTAGATATGTAGTTTTAGGATGATTTTGTTAAAGTGTATGTAGTTTTATAAAATTTACTTTGTTTTTTATGATAGGAAGGAAAGAAAAAAGGAAGGATGCGTCTAATACAGCTTAATACTATGCCTTACAATCATTATGTATATTATCTGTAAGGTCAAATCAGTAATTATGTGAAGTGATCGAACACGGGTCAAATATGGATTTTCTCGTAGGTTTTTTATGATGAAACTAGTCCACCTAAGTTTAAGTCTTAGACTTGATACGTACGCTCGTATTTACGGCTAATTATTATTTCGGTGATAGATAACATACCCATCGATACGAGATAGTCATGATGACTTCGTGAATTTTAAGATATATCGATTCAGTTTTTATTTTAAAAGTCTTGTCGTGTTCGTAACAGTGTCAAATAAAATCGCAGAACTATAAAAACTTTCTTGATGAAATTCTTTTGCATATACAACAAGTATAGTGGGAAAGAAAAGGAAAATTAGGAGATAAAAGATGAAAGAGGGATCTCGGACTATTTTTTTCCTTGAAGGGCGGATCCTTTGTAAGCACGGCATTTGTTCGTGTTTTGTGCGTGTCTTGTGGTAAACTTGTTCAATATACTAGCGTGCTTACTTTGTTCCAAAATATTGATGTAGGTTACATGTGTATTAGTGCACAGTATTCGTGTTTAATAGTACTGCTTGTGAACAAAGAATCCAGTCTCAGCATGCATCGTTGGCACTTTCCGGCCAAAAAGACTTGCAATTTATTGTACTACTCTTTACCGGCAACCTGCAAAGCAATTAAAATGGATTAATAGGTAGGCTTTGACCAAGCGTGCTAGGGATCTATTTGGCACACATCTGCAGTTTCATTTTTTTAGCTGAAGCCCAACTAAATTATTCCGATATTTTATAGAAAGAGTGAAACTTGTTAGAGTGTTCTTACAAAATAAATTAAAGAGGTAGAGTTGGTTTTAGAGTTTAGACAGTTCCACAACTCCACTTCAAATCCAACTTTTAATGTTAAATTTAGAAGTTGGAGACCTTCCAAATAGGCCTTAGGGTGTTGAAGACAAAAGGATCGAAATTCATGTAAATTTCAAAGGAATTTGAATTGTCTTAAAAATAATTGTTGCAAAAGTTCTATAAGTTCCAAAAAAAGTGGACTTAACATTAGCTCACTAGTCACTACTCACTACCTATGAAGAAGAAAATGAGAAAAATAAATAAAAATAGGTCACCAAGTTGAAGCTGTAGTTTAATTCTCCCTTTATCCCAAAATATACCCCCTCAACCAGAGTTTGATCATCACTAATTAAGCAAGAGACACCGAGACCAAACACCAAAGCATCCATCATTCTAAAATCAATCCTCATCAATCAAGGTGCTTCTTCGCTGTGTATCCAACTGAAATTAATTTACACTTTAAATATTGCATGGGTTGAACCAATAGAAAAAAATTGGTTGGTTGTATGCTTGCATGATATTTCACAATGCACATTTACAGTTTGCACAAATAAAAAAAACATATTGTATATGATGATCATTTTGAGAAAACCTAAAAAATCTTAGGTGATGATATAACTTAGATAAAAATAAATGAGACAAAACCACCACTAACACAAATACCAATAAATAATTATTACCACATCAAATATCATTTGGATCACCTCAATAAATACAATACATGTACCCGATAGAATTAAAGATACTAAAGGTTGGGAATTTAAAAACAAATTTAAGGAAAAGGGAGGTGGTGATTAATTACATGTATACGCCTTATATTATGAAATGTAGAAAAAATGATTGTCTTATATTTTGGGATGAAAATAACTACCACCAGTGTTGTATGGTATAGCTCAGCCAAGTTCAAGCCTTTAGACTTGATGTGAATATTGTATTTACAACTAATTATTATTCTATGATAGATAATACACTCGTTAATAGATCTCAAAACATATCAGCCATTCTTTCAAATGTGCACACGCTCAAAACGTCCTTGTGATAAATTTATCAATCTCATAGGTTGAATCTTCTCTCGAAGATGAGCTTATTTATACTCTTCCACAATATAAGGGATTTTGAGTTTTTGCTTGCAACGTTTGACCACTCGTCTTATTCAAATTTTTTTTCCAAATATAAAAAATGAAAAGTTGTGTTTAAAGTACTGTAGATAATAAAATAAGTTACAAATAAAATAAATAATAATTTTAAAAAATTTTAAATAAGACGAGTGGTCAAATATTGTAAGAAAAACCTCAAAATCCCTTATATTATAGGACAGAGAGAATATGTTTTTGTATTGAGTTTTTTCTTAAAAGAAGATATTAATGACCGTTGATGGCACTGGTATGCAAAAGGCAAATGACAATCCCACGTGGGCAGTTTGGTCATTGCATCATCTCCATGTGGTAGGCCTGCGATTCGCACCTTGCAGAGCTCACTGCACGGTCTTCTGGCTCCAGTACATTTCTTTTTCTTCTGAGCGGTCAAAGTGAGCGGTTTTCAAGCTAGCCCTCGTCGATTTCACCGAGACGATGGAGAAAGATGATAAGGCAATGCGGCCAAAGGAGGAAGCCTTTCGTGCAGAGAGGACCGGATGAGGGTAAAAATAGCGCGGACAATATCTGCCGACCATTTGGATTTTGAAATTTGTCCCTATGGATTGTTCCCGAGTTTGATGTTTATCCATGTTCGAGATTTTTGTTGAGAATTTGTGACATATAATGTTGAAAGAATTGTATCTCCGAGACGAAAACTGTTGGAAAACTTCCATTTATTTTTCTCGGAAACCGAAATAGAACGGCACATGTTAGATTTTGAAAAAATGAAATGATCGGATTGGAAACATACCGATGTCGGTCAGAATCTTAAAATTCATATTGGAAAATAAAATGTAACATCATATGTTTAACTATGTATGGCCTTATAACTAGAGTGGATTACGAGCCAACTCAGCTCAACTCGTTAATGAGAAAGACTAGCTCAGCTCGTGTCGTGAGTTGGCTCGTTAACAAGTTATATCTCTTTTATATCATATTATTAAGAAAAAATTATAAAACTAACCTTAACTTTAATCGTATGTTCACCTACCACCTTAAACTTTGAAACCGGATATCCAACCCCCTCGAACTGTACAGTAACATTCATATTGCACCCTAAGGTGGTTTTGAAACTGAGATAATCCATGAAATACCATTGACAAGCGTCTAAGTCCCAGAAATATCATCGACATGTGTGAGTTCCAAGAAATGTTATTGTACAAACAATTTTATCCCAAAAATGCCATTCCCGTTAGGGTTCCGTCCATTCTGCGCCATTAAGTTCTATAGTATGAACAGTGTATTTAACGGCGTGGAATGGATAGAACCCTAACGACGATGGTATTTTTGGGACAAAATCGTTTGTATGATCCATTTCTTGGAATTCACACTTGTCAATGACATTTCTGGGACTTAGATGCTTGTCAATGACATTTCATAGATTATCTCTTTGAAAATTGGTTTCATCTAATTTGCATATATGTTTGTTAGATTTGACTATGTGACATCTGCATTGGATATATATGTTAAACTCTCCAAAAGAGGTTCTCAAAAAGATTGATTACTATAGATCACGTTTCTTTTGGTAAGACGATGATCATAAGAAGAAGTATAGACTCACAAGATGGGATATGATTTGTCAACCCAAAGATCAGGGTGGTCTTGGAGTTCATAATTTAGAAATTCAAAATCAATGTCTTTTGAGTGAGTGGCTATTTAAGTTAATAAATGAGCAAGGTGTTTGGCAAGATTCGTTGAAAAGGAAATATTTTAATAATCAATCTTTAACCCAAGTTGAGAGGAAATATGGAGATTCCCATTTTTGGTCGGATCTTATGAAAGTTAAGTATTCGTTCCTAACTATGGGTTCCTGGATTGTGAATAATGGTGAACAAGTCAGATTTTAGGAGGATAAATGGGTTGGTAACCATTCCTTTAAATATAGGTATCCATCTTTATATGCTATAGTTTGAGGGAGAAACTCCTCGGTTGCAAATGCTATGCATTCTGTTCCTTTAAATGTTTCTTTTAGGAGAGTTTTAGTAGGGCAGAACTTGACTAATTGGCATAACTTTTGTGCTTCAATTGTGCAAATCCATTTGACAGAAAACAATGATTTTTTTAGATGGAATCTTCATCAAAATGGTCAATTCTCGGTTCGTTCTATGTACTTAGCTTTAATTAATAATGGCTACATTGAGAGGAATAAGTTTAATTGGAAACTTAAAATGCCTCTTAAGATTAAGATTTTTATGTGGTACCTGCTTAAAGGTGTTGTCTTAACAAATGATAACTTGGTTAGAAGGAATTGGCATGGTAATTTGAAATGTTGCTTCTGTATGAAAAACGAGACTATCCAACATTTATTTATGGAATGTCATTATGCAAAATTTGTTTGGAGAGCATTACAATTTTTTTTCTGGTTTAAATATTCCACATAGTATATCTCATATTTTTTTAGAATTGGTTCGTAGGGATTGATAAAAAAACCAGTAAACTTATTCTGGTAGGAGCTTCCGCTATATGTTGGGTTCTATGGTTGAGTAGAAATAATATGGTTTTTGATAAATCACCATCTATATCTTATATGCAGGTTCTTTTCAGGGCAACACACTGGCTCCGGTCCTGGGCACAACTACAAAAGTGTGAATAAGATATCAAGTTAATAAAAGCTGCATGTCGTAATCTTAAGTCAACGGTTATGCAGTTTTTTGCCAACTTCGGATGAAAATTTACAAATAGAATTCAATAATGTTATGATCTTTTCTTGCATTGGTTTTTAGTACTTAGTGTATGTTCCTATCCTTTTAGGCATGTGTTTTTATGACTTTTTTTGTCATGCGTTTTTATTTGTATGAATTGGTGTAATAATTGGTTGTAGCTCATTGAGCAAAGACTGGGATTCTATTCAATTATCTAAAAAAATATATGTTAAACTCTCCACCTAATTCTTTCGTTATTACCCCTTCTTTTTGCTCTCGCTTACATAAGAATGTTGATATAGTACCAGTATGATATTACTACATAGTATAAATTTGTGGTCAATGATTAACGATATGTGAACAAGCCATATTAGTTATTCAAAACCGTTGATTCAAGTTCCCAGATACACAAAAACACTATCCAAAACCGTTGATAAAATGGTATTGCAAAGTTTAGATGATTGGTTATCCAGTTTTAAAGTTTAGGGTGCTAGAGGGATTTTGACCGATAGGTTAAGGGGGTATGGACTTGTTCCTATTAATAATTTCAAATTTACTATTTTATCACAAATTAACATAATAATAAACACTGACTAATAAAGAACTCACTAAATATGAATAGTTTTGTCGTAATTAAAAGACTAAGCACTAGTTAAGAAGCACTATCTTGTAGTAACGAGCTAAACAATCAACTCGCGGGCTAGCTCGGCTCGACTTATTAAAACTATGAATCCGAACCGATCCGAGTTGAGCTTGATACAAGCCTATCTGAGCCACGAGCTTCGATTTCTTGTCCACCCTTACATAGAGCGTCATCCTCCATACAAACAAATCACATAAGTATAGTCACACTACATAGCTATATAATGAATTGAGAAAGCGACGCGTGAAAAGGAAACAACGTAACGCAGTGACTTGAGGAGGCGGCCAAGGGTCTCACAGGCGGATAGTCGGAGAGATGGAGAGAGACAACGACGAGCACAGCGCCCCCAACCCCAACCAGGTTAGGATCATGAGCATAGTAAAGATACAGGGTGAACTGATGGTTGAATCGAAAAAAAGAAATCCAAACCAGCCACCTTTGCGGCTGGTTCTATGAAAATCATGCACTATTAAGTAAGGCCATATTTGTTTCAGCATAAGATTATTGTGATCTAGATTACTGTAAACTGGATTGTAATAAGCCGACATAAAATAAGTTTGTTGTTTGTTTATCTGGATTATTAGTTGTTTGCTAGTTGTTAGTTACCCAATAATCTTAAAAAACACCTTTAGAGTGGATTACCAATTATAGGGGGTGTTTGAGAGAGGGACTTTAGTCCAAAGACTTATTTTTTGGAGAGAGGGACTAAAGTTTAGTCCCTCACTCCCAAACACCCCTATAGTAATATGACTTATAGATTGTAATAATCTATCATAATAAACTATCAGTTTGTTTAATTTCAGGTTACTCGTAATAATCTAGATTATAATAATTCTAAGTTGGATAAAAAGGGCCTAAGTTGAAATCCCTAAATAACATGCATAGAAATTTTGTAGAGCTTCTACAGAAATTAGTTGAATTCCGACAAAAATCATGTATTAATCCAAGCAAAGCCTCTGTTTTCGCTGTTTTACTTCCAGTCGTCCGTACAATTCATTTACTGTAGCTTCTGTACGGAGTAGGTAGAAACACATAGCGTGGTACAGAGTTCAGAGTTTCAGCGGTGATCGTTCAGACAATTGATGCCAGTGCTACACACAATTTGACCTGCAGGACCTGCAGACTGCAGCTCATCGCCCAGTGCCTGAGGACTCAGGTCATGGAGATGCATGCAAAAGCCGAGACTTGCTTGCAACAAGTTGGGGTACTGTTTGTGGCATACTCATACTAAGATCTCTAGACTTGATTAGATTAGCCTTAAATTTCGTATGGTTGTGTGAGTGAACTTGCGATCTCTAGTATTGCCCTGTTGTGAACTTGCGATTATATGGGTCGAGAAGGTGAGGCCAGTGAAGTGAAGATGGTCTTCACTTCTCGGTGAAGATAGGAATGGCTAAATGGAAAACGAGTCCGATCACAAAATCTAAACATTGGGTCGTTCTGGTGCCCGACCGACTATTTGGTACCTCTTGAAGCCAATGCCTTTGCCAAATCAATACGAATTATACTATCTTACTAAAATATTGACGAATAAATTAATAGAAAGGGAAACTATAATAGCCCGTACTATTGATGGTGTGTGGGCGGCAGCCTTCAAACAAAAGTTACCTCATGAAGAGAGTATATCTCAACTGGTTATTGTAAGTTTGTAACTGAATTACTGGCATATATGGCGGGGAACACGGTCTATGCACGTAAGTTTTTTCGTGTATATCACAAACAATTCTAGAAAAATTTTATTACTTTTAGTGGCATTACATCTATATGTAAAATTTTATTTTCAAATTCATTATATATATGAAAAAAAAAACAAAATTCTAACATATTTATATTATTAAAACTATAATATTTTTTACGGCTAATATAATAAATTTGAGCTAAGACTTTACATAAAGTGTAATTTTATTCGACGCGGATATAAAATATATATTTTTAGATTTTTTTTATGAAAATTTGTTAGCTGACATGGTGTGTACGTATTCGTACATATGATATATCCCTGCATAGTGTGTGTCTTAGACTCTTTGTTCCACTAGTATTCGTTTAAAAAAGTAAAGGAAAAAAGTATACCGAAGATCCCTCTACTTGTCATCGAGTTATAAATTCATCCTCCAACCGTATAAAACTAGATATTCGGTGTCCCTTAACTTATCAAAACCGGTCAGAATAGGTCCTTCGGTGGTTTTAGCCTCGCTTTTAGCCTATGTGGCGGCTGATTCAGCGTGGGACCCACATAGACCCCACATGTCAGGATGCTAGGTCAATCTCTCTCCCTTTCTCCTCTCTCTCTCTCACACTTTCCTTCTCCTCATCCGATGCCACGAGGAGGGCAGCGCCGCGACGACGGCCGACGACGGCACGGTGGCGGAGAAGCTCATACTCTTAGTGATGCCGCTGCCGCCGAGGAGGAGGAGGTGAGGCGAGAGCCCAGGGGTGGTGGGCACGTCGTCCATGCCGAACTGGGTGCTCTCGTCATCGAAGTGGTGGTGCTTTGCGAGGGGATGTGCCAGCGGTGGTGGTGGAGGAGGCGAAGTGATGTACTCCAGCATGTGAAGCGGCGGCGTCGGCGGGCTCATGGTGGCGGAGTAGCGGCGTCAGTGGGTGAGCACGACTGCGGAGAGGCGGCGTAAGCAGGTGAGAGCGGCGGCGACGGCGGGCGAGTGCGGCGGCGGCGAGCGAGTGCGGCTGCGGATGGGGAGAGGCGGACGCCGACGACTCCGCAGCGCTCGGCTTTGTCGTCGGCGGCGGCTCCGGGCACGGGCGGAGCAAGGCGGGGAACGCGGAGCAGAAGGGCGGGTGAGCGGCGGCTCCGAGCGGCAACCATCTCCGAGAGACGGGCTCCTCCCCTGTCGGCTGCTGGCCGCCGGCGCCCATCGCTGCGGCGCCCGGCCCCGCCTCCACCTCCGTGCCCACCTCATGTCGCGCGTCATGGAGACAGACACCTCGTCAGCGTGGTTCCTAGGCTCGTCGCTCCGTGTCGACGCACTCGTCCAGGAGGGCTTCTCGGCGCCGTCGACATAGCAACCTGATAAGAGTGAGAGAGAGAGGGTGCTGACATGGCATCCTGACATGTGGGTCCCATGCTGACTCAGCCGCCACGTAGAATAAAACCGGTGTCAAAACCACCAAAGGATCTAGATTGAACGGTTTTTAAGTTGGGAGATGTCATATGTCTGTTTTTGTGGTTGGGGGACGATTTTGTAACTCAATGACAAGTTAAGGGATCTTGGGTGTACTTTCTCAAAAAAAAAAAAGAGCCCAAATATGCCTCTCTCAGACCAGGCCGTCGTATATACGAGCCCACCCCCACAGAGTCCATTTCAAACCCCCAACGTCCAAACCTAACGGAACGGATCGGCGAATCCCATCAAGATAACTCTCCCACATCCTCGGCGCGAGACGTGAACGAAACGTCCCAAGCCTACCGCCGCCGCGAGGATCTCTCGAATCGCGCAACTCACAGCAGAGGGAGAGGAAGAAGCCGAGCGCCATGGACGCCCTCGTCTGCACCAACGCCTTCGCCACCGCCATCGCCGCCGGCAGGTTTCCCCTCCCGCGAGGCCGCTCGCCCCCGTACGCCGCGGCAGCCGTCCCCGCCCTCCGCTCCCGCCGCTGCCTCCCGACTCGAGGTCCGGGTTCTCGAAGGCAAAATCGATCGGGTTTATCGGAGGTTTTTTTTTTTTTGCGTGAATCCTGACGGGCATTTTGTGTCGTCTTTCATCGGTGTGTTTGTCCAGGGCTGCTACGCCTGCGCTGCGCCAGGGGGGTGGATTGGACTGATCCGTCGTTCGTGGCAGTCGCGGAGAAGCCCGACGCGGGGGCGGAGGCATGGAAGGCGCTCGCATCCGCGGGCGGCGGTGGCATCGAGGAGGAGGAGGATGGCCCGTTTGAGGCGATCAACGGTGATGGAGGATACTCGGTGGAGGAGTCTGTGGTCTTGCCGCCATTCGAGCAGAGCTTGGTGGCGGCGGTGGCGGACAGTGTCGAGGACGATGCGCTCAGTCAGGCGCTCAGCTCTAAGGTAGCTTTACTGTTTTGCACGTAACCCGTTTGTTCTATTGCGTCTAATTACTTAATTTATTAGTATGTGATTCTGTTTATGTGGGATGGTGGATTTGAGGTAGAATTGGATGTAGCTAGACTAAATCAAAACACTAAGTTTGATGTTTATGTCGAAGTGAATTAATGTGATTGGGAATAAGTAGAAATAGAAAGGTAAATTGTTATGCTGGCCTGACATGGTAAGATATGAACAATTTAACCTTTTCTAAGATCCTTATGAGAACAGCTCTCTGGTCTCTGCACATGTATTACTTTTTACAGGCTCTATTAATACTTTGGCGTGGCCTTTTTTTTTTGCGAGTTTGGCATGCCAATTTAAGATTAAAGTAGATTGCTTATATTCAGGGTTAAACTATATCGACAAATCAATGAAGGCAAAGTGCTACATTGTGATGTGTAGGATTTTTGTGATAGATTTTGATGTTCCAGTATGTTCTGACCTTGGCAAGTTGGCATGTTTATCTAAACCGTAGTTCAGGTGCAGAAATACAATGCTATATCTTCAGTACTGTTGTCAGGCCTTGCAGAGTAGAATCCAGAATAATCTGAGTGTCACTGGTAAATCTACACATACGTAATGTGAAATGTGACATAGGCTGACTGATGAGTTCATTCCCTTAGAGCTGTTTGGTTTGAGGAATTAAACCATCTAGGATGACTGGTCCATCATGGCATGGGGTCATTACTCCAATTCGGTGGGATGACTCCATTCCTCATCTGCTCTTTACTTAGTTTGTACCACCTCCGTTTCAGTTTATAAGACTTTCTAACATTGCCCAAATTCGTATAGATGTTAATGAATCTAGGCGCACATATATGTTTAGATTCATTAACATACATATGAATGTGGACAATGCTAGAAAGTCTTATAATATGAAACGGAGGAAGTACTTTTGAGGGATTAGGTGATGATGGGTAAACCTATTCCATTCATCAAAACAAACAAACTATTAAGGATCAAGTGGTCAATTGACCATCTCATTCCTCAATCTGAACAGCCTGGTGTGTTAGTACCTTGAGTACTTCTTTATGCATTCTAGCTCAAATTTGAACTTACAGTGCATTTTTTATGTCTGAAAGATCCAGACATTGTCTTCCGCATTGCCCCTTCTCTTTGCTCTCCATCCTAAGATTCTGCATATAAAGCTAATCTCTTACCAACTGCAACTGCTTGACCTGCACTTCATTTGCAGAAAGATGTCAATGCGGTTTTGTTATGTAGCTTTCCTAGTCCATGTACATGAATTCCCAGTTTTTATGGTGTCCTTATATCTATTTTGAATGTTCTTGTGGAACCCCTGACTTGGGTTATTTGGTTATTCCAGTTGGATTTCAAGGAGACGTCTACTTTTGTCATGTATGGCAGTGGTGCTTTCATTGCCGGATGGATTTTGTCTGCTGTTGTTTCAGCAATTGATTCCATTCCCTTGGTCAGTGACTATTAAATATATTAAGCAAATGAACAATTCTATCTATTATTGTCATAGAACCTGAAACAGATTATCATCTTCTTTGCAGTTCCCAAAGATACTGCAAATTGTAGGCCTTGGCTACACAATTTGGTTCAGCACACGGTATCTTCTTTTCAAGGTGCGTGCACTGATTGTAGAACCAGCCCACATGTGAAAAAAATGTTTTTTTTTTCTGCTCTGTCCAATGTTTAATGATTTCAACATTGTGCTTACTATTTTTGCAGGAAAACAGAGATGAACTGTTTGTTAAAGTTGATGATCTCAAAAGGAAAATTACTGGGTATGGTGATGAATAATGTGTTAGAATGAGGCTGGACTTTAGTTTCGTCTTGTGTTTAGTTAGATTTTTTTTATCATGCTACAAAATTGCAATGCCTGTGCAATTATATGTATTGTTATCGGCTATTTGTAATGAATGAATATTCTTTGCCAACAAATCGAGCAGTCATCTGCTGTTTTGAATAGTGAAATGGTCGGTCCCTCCTTTTTTATGACGTGCATACCATTTTATAAACCTAAAGTTAACTAGGTAAACGTATAGGTGTTATGCAAGATGGCACCAATAGATTCATATCTTAAAGTGCTTTTATAAGATAATATAATGTAGATTCATATTCTAGATTTTGTTGTTATTAACAATAGGGATAAGTCTATTTTACATCCCTAAACTTTTGTGTTCGTCTAAAATACACCCCCTAACTTCGAAATCGGGTATTTTGCACCCCTTAACTTTCAATACCATGCAGTTTACCCCTCGGACGGTTTGTAACATGGTTTTGGCGCTGATATGGCAATCTACTCGGCATTAGGAATATAAAAAGATTGTGGGTCCCACGTGTCGCTCTCTCGTTTCTCCTGCTCTTTCTCTCTCTCTCTCTCTCTCTCTCAAGCTACCGATCAAGCGTGGGAGTTCATGGACTCGCCGGAGGAGGAGCGAGGCGACCGGCGATGGCGGAAGAAGAAGGAAGAGCACGGCGGGCTAGTCGCTGTTTTGTCGTCGCGTCGCTCAGCCTCCACCGCTGCGTTTCCCCTCTCCTCCCTGGCTCCCTCCCTCTACTCTCTCTCCACTGAAGAGGACGGCGGAGCTATCCGCGTGGTGGATGCGGTTATCGGCCCGCTCATCGACCGGGGCAGTAGGGCCTGTGGCGACGCTGTCGCGGTGGAAACGGATATGGAAGTGCGCGGGTTGTCACTGGCAAGCTCGAGCTCCCCTTCGTCCTTCCGACAACAGGTAGCTCCAGATCCCCCTCTCTTGTCATTGCCCCCCTCGCCCCCTCCCACGCCGACCGTTGGTGAGCACGAGCTCATGGTCCAACTCCCTTGCTACCTCCAGGAGCTTCATCTTCTCCGTGAAATCGTGTCGGTAAAGCTCGAGCTCCCCTTCCCCAAGCGACTCCTCGTCCTCGACCAGGCGGCGGCGACGCTGCACAAGATGACTCCTCCCCACGCGGGTGGCTCCGATGAGGTCCACCTTTCCCGCTCTGGGAGGCGGCGGTAACCTCGTCCACCTCTCGCTGCTCCAGGCGCTGCCCCATTAGATCCCGCCACTCATCGCAGCATCTCCCCTGCCTCGCCGTGGATGTCGATGGACCACGGGGGGAGAGGGCGGATGCGATGTTCGCCAGGGTGGAGGGAGGGGGTAGAATGCTGGGGACGGAGCCGGCGGCGGGAGGGAGCTCGCCGGCTTCTTCCGCTCAGCGAGCTTGGAGGTGGGGGTGGGGGGAGGAAGAAGAGATATTGTCTGATTTGTGGGACTCTATGCTGATGTGGCGTTCAAAACCGGTGTAAAACAGCTTTAGGGGGTAAAATGCCCGGTATTAATAGTTGAAGGGTGTATTATACCAGGTTTTATAGTTTGAGGGTGTATTTTAGCAAACATGAAAGTTCGGGGGTGTAAAATGGACTTTTCCCTTAACAATATACTGTAACATACTGTATGACAAATTGATGCTAATGATCGTGATAAACAAATGTCCTTTATAAATTGAACGGCGGGCGTCATATATAGTCAGGCTATTTTATAGCGAGGGATCTTTTATTTTCAGTTCCCGTATTAATTAATTAAGCAGTTTTATGCATGGGTAGAAAAACTCGAAGCTCGTAAGTCACATTGTCCTCGAACTCTGTCATAATGAGTCGAACGCAGATGGTACTAGCTCGTTAGCTTAACAACCTAGCGTGCATGCGATTTACTTAGCTTGCTAATACAAAATACCGTATGTTTTTTATACTTATTGCTTATTTAGTAATCTCTCTGTTTCATACTCCCTCCATTTTTTAATAGATGACACCGTTGACTTTTTCTCACATATTTGACCATTCGTCTTATTTAAAAAAATTTACGTAATTATAATTTATTTTGTTATGAGTTTGTTTTATCACTCATGATACTTTAAGTGTGATTTATATCTTATATATTTGCATAAAATTTTTAAATAAGACGAATTGTTAAACATGTGAGAAAAAGTCAACGGCGTCATCTATTAAAAAACGAAGGTAGTATTATAAGTAGTTTGACTTTTTTTAAGTCGAAGTTTTTTTTAGTTTTGACTGAGTTTATAAAAAAAAACTAGCAACATCTACAACACTAAATTAGTTTCATTAAATTTAAGAAGAGAGATATTTTAATAATATGTTTGTTTTGTATTGAAAATGTTACTATATTTTTTTATAAATTTGGTTAAACTAAAAAAGTTTGAATAAGAAAAAAATCAAACGATTTATAATATGAACTAGAGGGAGTACTATCAGTCTGTTTTACTCTAAAACTATTTATATTTAATGAGTTAGTGTTTACTACTTCCTCCGTTTCATATTATAAGACTTTCTAGCATTACCCATATTCATATAGATGATAATGAATGTGGGCAATGTTAGAAAGTCTTATAATATGAAACGGAGGGAGTATCAAATAAGTTGACGAGTCTGGCTAGACCTTATTCCTGATGAGCTCAAACTATGCCGGACCAGGTTCGTCTAATTTCGTGGTCTTGACATGTTGGTAATAAAGTTATGTGATTTCAATAAGAGAAAATCGAGTTCAATCGCACCACAATCGCGACGAGCCATACCAAAACAAAACAAAACAAAAAACCCTTGTGTCACCAATTAAAGAACAGTCGTCCTGCCTACGTCGTTCACTTTACCCACTCCAGCAACTCCTCCCCAAGGAACAGATGGAGGACAAGGCAGGCAAACCAACCGTGGCCATTCTAACGGCTATAAACATGTGTCCAAACATTTAATATGATGTTTTTGGTAAAAATAAAAGAAATTGGGATCTAAACATGGCCTTGCTCAATGAGGGTCTTGCGCACTGTTGATCTCAAAGCTACCTGCACAATAAATAAATACTCATCGGACGTATTTGACTTAATCTTGGAAGGTCATTAGCATATAATTAATTAAATATTAACTATTGCAAATCTGAGAAATAAATTTAGTTAATGATTTTAAAGAATTTTTTATATATAGAGTTTTTTAAGGAACATACTGTTTAAGAGTCCTTATATTAAGTAAGGAAGTAGCTCATTCAGTAAGCCTAGAAAACACAACCTTAGAACATAAAGTTTTGCCATTCGTCTTATAATTAGAAAAGTAATTTAATTATTATTTATTTTCCTGTGACTTTGTTTTATTTGTTAAATACATTACTATAAACATGACCTTTTTTTCGTATTACACTTTTTTTTATAAAACGAGTAGTCAAACTTTATAAGAAAAGCTAACCGTGTCAAACATTATTCTTGATGTAGATGTTGCAGATACATGAATTGGTATTGGTATTGGGAAGGTACTCGTTTCAAAGGTTGTGCGTATTGGCCATAAGCTCGGTGAGGACATTGAAACAGGGGAAGGTGACAAGACGATCGATGCAGGATGGTGAGGACCTTGTGCGAGACGCGGGTTCGAGCGAGGAGTGTGAGGAGGGGTGGAGGAGCGTGAGGGAGTGGTCGGCTAGGAGGAGATGGAGGAGCGACAAGAACTACAGTTTGATGAACCAGCCAGTAATGGAGGCCGAGAAGAGCAAAAGTATATTAATCCTCCTAGTGGGTTTTGGTGATTAATGACAAATGTGGTTAAGGGACTAATGAGCTCATTGAGTAGCTTTCAAGTGCATTAATCCAAGGTGTGGAAGATGGATGCTTGGAGACCCCCCAGAAAGTGCAAAATCAAAGCGGACCGGAACTCGAGAAGTGTATAGGATAGTTTATCTTTTGAAATCGAGTTTTTAGGAAAAACCGTACTATTAAGAGGGGTTCCAGGTGATGCTCTGAGATATATCAAGTGCTCTTAGTGTGAACCAAGTGTCAAGTTTCCCTAGGAGTCCTTTTTTGCAAATACTCCATCTGTCTAAAAATACAAGTCCGGAACTTCTTATCTTCCAGGTCCGGAAGTTCCGGTCTTGTGAAAAAGATTTTCCTTAGTGTAGTCCGGAAGTTCCGATCTTCTAGGTCCGGAACTTCCTGTCTTGTTTCCAGTTCAAATTTGTGAGTAACGGCTAGATGACGTCACCTAGCCGTTATACATATACAGCTCGTTTCCAGCTCGTTCCTTGGCCATTCCACTTTCACTTTTCAAACCTAGAGCTATTGCTAGCTTCTCCCAAGTGTTTCGTGCCTTCTCCACTCAATCTAGAGCTTAATTCTTGTGTGAAAGAGAGATTGAGAGGGAGAGAAGAAGATTTGAAGAGGTGTGAAGACTAGGATCTTGGGTGAGCACTTGGAATATCTCGTGGGCTGTCATCTCGGTGCTTGTTACTCTTGGAGATGATCTCCTAGACGGTTAGGTGTCGCCCGCGAGAATCTGTTGTATATTGTGGATGTCCCGGATAAGTTTGTGAAGGATTTCCTCTCCTCCGAAAGGGAACGAGGTAAGTTAGTGAAGTTCTTGTGTTGAGATTCTAGAGGCTTTCCAACTAGAGCAACCCACACTTGTGGTGGATTTCTAGAAGTAGGTTGAGATGGATCTTGGTGGTCACTCAATTCTAGAAATTTGCCTAGGGGTTTTTGGGATTGAAGGCTGTGGATTTCCTCTGGGGTTTTTGCACAAGTGAGGCAAGGGGTTAATCGAGACCCAGCTCTTGGAGCTCCTCAACAGAGAGTAGGATCACAAGATCCGAACTTCGGAAAAAAATCGCTCTTGTCTCTTTCTGTGATGTTTTTGTGGATGATTCTGTGATATATCATCTGCTTAGAATACCTGTGCACCATCTTGTGAAGATTGGCTTAGTCTCTTGTTTAGAAATTTAAATTTCATCTCTGTTCTGTTACCCGGAAGTTCCTGTCTTAGAACACCGGAAGTTCCGGGCCTGGGAGGCCGGAAGTTCCGGAGTTCCTTACCAGGAAGTTCCGGGTCTGATAGAATTTTACCGCTGCGATTTGTTTTTAAGTTTTCAGGGACAACCTATTCACCCCCCCTAGGCTTCATCAGCGCGTTCAAAGAGGAGGACGTGTGAGGCGGACAAGGAGCGCAAAGAAGGTGACCAAGGTGTGAGAGAACCAGTGGTGGATATATGCATAAGCTATGGGTCGATTGAAACCAAAAGCACCCATATAAACCTTGATTTTCATGTATAAATCTATAATTTTAGATGAATGATCTCACTTAAGTATAAACTACTACTATTTGATCCCACATGGTTAAATTATTGGCGCCGCTACTCGTGAGAATCTGTGTGTGTGCAACAACGGTGATGAAAAGGTCGACTGCACACTACGCGAACGGAGAGGAAGTTGGCAAGATCGGTGTGGTCGATGTATTGCAATTGTGTCGTGGTTTCAAGCAGGAACAGAGGCAGCGGGAGGGTACCACCACTGGAGTGGGGCTTTGGTAGGCACGAGGCATTAAATGTGGGAAAAAAACCAATTGCATAGTTTGCATGTAAATTGCGAGACGTATCTTCTGAACCTAATTACGCCATGATTTGACAATGTGATGCTACAGTAAATATTTGTTAATGACGGATTAATTAGGCTTAATAAATTTATCTCGCAGTTTATTTGCGAAATCTGTAATTTGTTTTGTTATTAGTCTATATTTAATACTTTAAATGTGTGTCCATATACTTTTAAAGTTTTTACACTAAAAAAACTAACCACAGCGCAGATTTAAAATCCTGATGGGAATAATTCGAAAGTTTAATTGGACAAGCAATGCCGGTATGGTTAACTGGGGCCACCTACGTTCGGTGGGCTCACTTCACAATTTGTTTATGGTCACTTGAATATGTCTCGGAGGGAAAGCACCAAAAATTTAAAACCGACGCGAGGAAACGAACGTGCACGAGAAACGGCCCGAGGGCCCTAAACCAGAAAAAGGACCAATTATTTATGTTTACACGCTCTCCATAAACTGCATTCAAGAGGAGCCCGTCCGTGCCACGTCTAGTGTGATCAATTTGTTAGGTGCACCTGGTCAGTACTCCGTTTTGCTGCCATTTTGCATTTGCCCAGACATATCGAGCTAAAACATCCATCTTATACTACCTATATATAATTAGTTTTGGCAAAAATCATTTGCGAGACATTTGAATTAGGCATGATATTTATTTTTCAAAGCCACTGAATGACTCAAGAGCATAATTTAGTTTCAGTTTGTTAAAACAGTTAAAAACAAACTTTAAATTCAGTATATGTTGAATTGTGTTGCTAAACAATTTTATCGCTAATTCTACCAACAATTATCACTTAGATGCAATTCCTTTATTTCGAAGACCACCTTATGGATTTTCGCTTTTTCAAGGCCTGTTTAGATCCATGTCAAAAATTTTACACCCTGTCACATCGAACGTTTGAACATATGTATAAAGTATTAAATATAGGCTAATTGCACATATTGCAACTAATTTGCGAGACGGTTCTTTTAAGCCTAATTGCTCCATAATTTGATAATGTGGTGCTACAATAAACATCTGCTAATGGCGGATTAATTAGGCTTACTAAATTCGTCTCGTGGTTTACTGACGGAT